GCACACAAAGTTAAAAAAAATAGGGGAAGGAAAATGACTGATACCAAACAACAAGGAAAATAAAAGAATTTTGGCAAAAAAAATACATATGAATATATGATGGACCACGACCAATTATGTACTCCCATTAAAGCATATGGTACAACCAACCTCAGCACACCAGAATGTGAACAAAATGGTAAATTAGCTATCAACCACCCACCCCACCAGCATAATGTTCGGAGCGAGTTACACTCACGTCCCTTCAAACTCGCTATATATATACGCGCCTAAACAATTGCCCTCTGACCATAACTCCCTCTCCCTCTTCCATTTTCTTTGTTCCCAGATCCAGCTTTCATTCCCAATCCATTCCTGGTACGTATCATCAGATCAGCTAAAATGTTTAATGATGTGGAATTGTTATTTGAGTAATGCTGATGCCTGTACGAGTTTCTAGAATTGGATCGCATTGTTGTTTGTGTGTAGCATGTTTTTCGTTTGTAAAATGTGTAGATCGGAATACAGCCGCTGAGCTTGAGACCGGAGCCCCCCACCCGCTCGCACAATTTTTTTTGTATATCTTAAATTTCCTGCGCCCTCTCGGATCTGATGGCTCCGTTAATGAATATGTGTACAAACAGGAATGAGCTTCATTGTTACTGAGCGTTGAAGACATAATATAGTCCCTTTGTATTGTTCTATGTGTTTCGATTTATAATTCTAATAGGCAACTATAGAGTTTTGATTAGGCTGCAATAGGATCTTGAATTCCATACTACGAGTAGAAAAATGGGTTAAAGAGGCGATGCATGAATTTGTGAAACGCAATGAAATACTTTTCAGTTCTGAAAGTCAAGTGTTTAGATATGTGCTTGTAATGTGGAAATATATAAAAATCCTGGCTGAAAAGTAACTATAACGAAGTGAAACAATATGGAAGGAAAACTTGGATAAAATTTATTTTGGATGTATTTTCAAACTCATTTTTACTTGCTCCATATTTATTTCTACTACACGAAGATCAAGAAATATACGCATTTTGTAAACCTCTCTAATCATATACAGGTGCTACGTAGGATTTTCAAGGTAAAACAAAACACAGGAAAATATCTTTCCTTATCATTTCCCCCACTTTTATTTATCATATTGGACTTGTTTGAATGAGAAAATATCAAGGTTTCTATGATTATTACTTAAAGATGATGAAATGCTGACTAAAGATGTTAATTGTATGTGTGTGTGTGTGTGAACAAACAGAAATGGAGACCTTCTTGTTCACCTCCGAGTCAGTGAATGAAGGACACCCGGACAAGCTCTGTGACCAAGTCTCAGATGCCATTCTGGATGCATGCCTGGAGCAAGACCCAGACAGTAAGGTTGCCTGTGAAACATGTTCAAAGACGAATATGGTGATGGTTTTTGGAGAAATCACAACAAAGGCGAAAGTTGACTATGAGAAGATAGTGCGTGACACTTGCCGGGGCATTGGGTTTACCTCAGCTGACGTTGGTCTCGATGCAGACAACTGTAAAGTCCTGGTAAACATTGAGCAACAGAGCCCTGATATTGCCCAGGGTGTCCATGGTCATTTCACAAAGAAGCCTGAAGATATTGGGGCTGGTGATCAGGGTCACATGTTTGGTTATGCTACCGATGAGACACCTGAGCTCATGCCACTAACCCATGTGCTTGCTACCAAACTTGGTGCGAAACTCACGGAGGTAAGAAAGAACAAGACTTGCCCGTGGTTGAGACCCGACGGCAAGACCCAGGTCACAGTCGAGTATAGGAACGATAGCGGTGCTATGGTCCCACTCAGGGTCCACACCATCCTCATATCGACCCAACACGATGAGAATGTCACAAATGAGCAGATCGCCATTGATTTGAAAGAACATGTGATCAAGCCGGTGGTCCCCGCTGAGTATCTTGATGACCAGACCATCTTCCACCTCAACCCGTCAGGTCGGTTCGTCATCGGCGGGCCCCACGGGGATGCTGGGCTCACAGGTCGAAAGATTATCATCGACACGTACGGCGGGTGGGGCGCGCATGGTGGGGGAGCCTTCTCGGGGAAGGACCCTACCAAGGTGGACCGGAGCGGGGCCTACATCGTAAGGCAGGCGGCAAAGAGTGTGGTGGCATCGGGACTCGCCCGCCGCTGCCTCGTCCAGGTCTCTTATGCTATTGGGGTTGCTGAACCGCTATCTGTGTTTGTCGACACGTACAAGACAGGGAAGATTCCGGACAGGGATATATTGGTTCTCATCAAGGAGAACTTTGATTTCAGGCCAGGGATGATCACGATCAATCTTGACCTGAAGAGAGGTGGCAACTTCCGGTACCAGAAAACTGCAGCTTATGGTCACTTTGGGCGAGAAGATTCTGACTTCACCTGGGAGACTGTCAAGATCCTCAAGCCCAAAGCTTGAAGTTCTTGAAATGATTAACCGTATAATTTTTCTGCATAAGGGGTTTCCTGCAGCCATCTCTTCTTCTGGTTGTTGATTAATAAGCACCACTCTTGGTTCAAAACGTTTTATTAGTTACCTGATCTTAAGATTTCTTCTGATCAGACGTTTTTTCCATTTTTATTTTCTTTCAGGGGTTCTAAGTGTTTCTACTTTGATTTGTATCTCATTATACCAAAGAAATTGGTGTGATTCTGGGTGTGTTTTATTTTATTAGATCCAAGATTGTTGAAATCATTGTGTTTTTTGGTTACTTGTGAACTACACCATTCATCAATGTCAAATATGCATTCGGCTGGATATATCTTTCTGCTATTAGTATTCTCTCTTTGTTTCCTTTTTTGTTATTTAAAACATGATCATCAATGGGAATTGTGCATTCGGCTGGACTTGTCTTTCTGCTGTTAGTACTCTCTTTGTTCCATTTCTGTTACTTGAAAAATGGTTCACAATATTCCCACCTAGGGGTGGACTCGGGCCGGGCCAACCGGCCCGGAACCGGACCGGCCCGCTACTGTGCGGGCCCGGACCGGCCCGGTGAACCGGTTCGTGCCCGGTTCGGGCCTCCAGGCCCGGTGGTATAGCGGTTCGAGCCTGGGCCTCCAATTTAGTGAACCGGCCCGGCCGGGCCGGGTCCGGTTCGGGTCGGAATTTATTTATTTTTTTATTTTTTTTTTGGATTTTTTTTGAAGTTTGGGTTGGATTAGGTATTTTGGGCCATTTGAGGTGGTTTGGGGTGGTTTGGGGTGGAGAGGGAGGGGTAAGGGGTTAAATAAGAGAACAGAAAAAAAAAATAAAAAACCGGGTGGCCCGGCCCGGCCCGGTCTGGCCCGGAGCCGGACCCGGAACCGCCCACCACCGGTTCGGGCTCGGGCCTCATTTTTCTGAACCGAGGCCCGGCCGGACCTAGGCCCGAACCGGGCCCGAACCGGAACCGGTCCACCCCTATTCCCACCATATTAATTCTCAAGTAACATACTCCCTCCGTTTCTAAAAGAACCTCACACTTTCCTTTTTTGGATGTGCCAAAATAAAAGTCACACTTCCCTTATTTCCTTATTTGGCAAAGAAATCTACATCCAAACAGTGCCAAACAGTGTCCAAACAGTGCCAAACAGTGTCTAAACAGTGTTTTCTACAGTAAAGTCAATTTATTTCCTTAATAATCGTGAAGTCAAACCGTGACTTTCTTTTAGAAACGGAGGGAGTATAATAATCCAATACTTTGTAGTAATGAAAGATTGTTTATTTAGATACAACACTTAGATATGGAAGATTTAAATGAAATTAAGGAGTTGAAATGGTCACTTGATATGAAGAGCCCGTTTGGTAGCACGAAAATCAGCTATTTTGGCTGATTCTGCTGAAATTTATGAAATTCTGGCTGAAGTGGCTGCATTGGCTGATTCTGCTGATTTAAGAAAAAAAATTCTAAAATATATTTTATCAATAAAATAAAGAAAAAATTATATAAAAAATTGCTAAAATGGTTATTTACAGTAACTTCAGCCAATACAGTCAGAAAAGTAACTTCAGCCTTACTTTTTCTGCTTATGACACTATTCAGCGCGCGGAAGCAAAAGTTACGTGTTTGGTGAAAAAGTTAGCTGATAAGCCTAATAAGTCGAAAAACAGTGCTGCCAAACGGCCTCGAAATCGGTGAGCTATGATTTCTTTCTTTGGTCTCAATAATTATATATACAAAATATATCGCAAAATTTGTACGGAACAACTTTCATGAATCCCACCTTATCTTTAGGTTTGGATTTTGGAATGCAAAAAGATCCAAAAGAATGACACTTCATCCTTCAGGGCCCTCTAAAACCAACCAGGCATTTATTTGAGATGTAAATTGAACTCTGATCACACTTTGATGGAAATAGAGTTGAGTTACATCCCAAATCGTTCATTGAACTTAAACTCATAACATCTCCCTTGTGAGACCCCTTTCTACCAGGTGAGTTACGCCCCAGTGGAAAGTTTTATGAGCTGAGAAATCAATCATATGATTATTGGTTGGTTATATATTACAAGAAAATGAATACTGGATTACTACTTGAGATAACATATTTTAATTGAAACATAGTAGTCATGGACTAGGGCCGCCCGGCCCAGAACCGGTACTGTTTGGGCCCGGCCCGGTACCCGGTCATAGGACCGGTCCGGGCCACCCGAACCGGGAGTCAAACGGGGCGGGCTCGGGCCTCCTAAAAGTGGAACCGGCCCAGAACCAGCCCGGCCTATTTCTTTTAATTTTTGTTTTTTCAATTTTTTTGGTTTCTCCCGGGTTGGTCTAAGTGTTTTGGGGGGGGTTTGGGGTGAGGGGGTGAGGGGGGGGGGGGGGGGTCGGGGGTTAATTAGAAAAGCAAAAGAAAATTAAAAAATAAAAATAACATGAACCGGCCCGATCCAGAACACTACCTACCCGGACCGGTTCCGGTTCTTCCTTCCCAAAAAAAGCCTGCCCGAGCCCAGGCCCGAACCGGAACCAGCCTGGCCCGGGTCCATGACTACCTGGAAGTGGCTAAAACAAAAAGGAAATAAACCCGCTTGAGATTGTTCTATAGCTAGCTAATCTCAGTGTAACATCCAAGGGAGCGATGGCTTCAAATAGTCTCAGTAAGATTATCTTATTTGGTACGGATGTTCAGATTACTCTAGTAAGCTGAGATACAGTAGACAAGCAACTGAAGCAAGGTAATGTGTACTTTGGTCATACTTTGAATCATTCCAAATTTGTTTCCAACAATTCAGTGACAAGGTAAGCTTGCATTCCCCTACCCGCAATTATTACCTAGCCAAAGTAACGTAACCCTTGCAATAAAACTCTTTTTAATTAATTAATTTCTTTGGAGCATAAACATTCACGGGATGGGGATACATTTGTATGTGTGATAACAGCAATAGATTAAAACATGTAGAGAATTTCCATCCAAGAGTGCTGTGCAACCAAATCAAACCAAGCCTATGTTTCTAAGAGTGCAACCAGAGCCTGTCATGCAGTCTCTCTTCGCCGGCACCAATCATCTCATCAACCCTCTCCCCATCTTGGTAGAAATGAAAAGTTGGTGTGTAGCGGACATGCTGGGTTGTCTCTGGACAATCATCAATATCAGCATATACAAACGAGAGTTTAGGGAAGCTGTTACTCAAGTCACAGAATACCGGAAGTATCTGGCTGCAAACACGACACCTGGAAATTGGCAAACCCACACATCAAATGTTGTTTTAACATTGCCCACAACTTTTCAATATCATTAAACGAAAAAAGTAAAAGGGCTACTGGTTTTCAAGCTCTATTATTACGAATTTGCCATTTCAGGTCACAACAGTTCAAGCATGAAACCAGTGCATGGTCTATGTTCAAGGGTGTATATCCCACAGTAAGACATCCTACATCAGTGATAGCGAACATATAAACCATATTAAAACATGATATTTAATCCTAAAAGGGTCATTCTAATATACCAGCCCAATATTGGGTTACGTGGATGGACATTGGGTTTTCAACTTTTAAGATGGAGCATCATGTCTTAAATATATCACATTAATATAGAAAGTGCTACCAATATTAGGTTTTCCTAGAACGGCTTGCTTTTATGTGGGGCTAAGTACATAGCAAAAGATCGACTAGTTAATGTATGATGTGCTTTTGCAACAAAGGAATTTGTGATCATTATAAACATAAGAAGTTTCTATGTAGGGTCCATGAATGCTTGAAAGCTAGAACTCGGAAAATGATCAGGAGGCATAATGGGACAAAAATAGGGGAAGTTGGAAGGAACGAAATGTGGGAGGACACTTTTGCGTCAACCTGAATAAAAACATTTATTAGATTTCTTCAACCTCTTTTTTTATATAATTCTATATAATAAACACTACTAAAAAATCTAAACATATTGTTAAGGTTTTAAAAAAACATAATCATAATGTACTTTACTTTTTCACTTTCTGAGATCAACCAAACACAAGAAAACAACTCTTGCCTAACACTTTTTCCCCTTTGCCTTTCATTTTACGGGATCCAAACCTACCTAAGCATCAGAAGACTGTTCTAAAAATCAGTTTACTTGGCAGCCCATTAGGCTCTCTAGGCACTCTTACATGTGCTAGGCACCCAAGGTGGCACTCAAGCCGCTGACTAGCACCCAGAGAGTATTGCAATACTAGATTACATGCATGTATCAAGGTTTTTTTCCCTGAAAAAGCAAAAGGCACTATCGATGTTAAGCTGCTAACAGTATATCGCATTTTGAGGTCAAGGGCCATGCCAGATCACTTCCCAATCGACCACATACCAGGTAGAGTTGGAAAACCCAATGGATATACTACATTCGAGAATCATGTCGCAATTTCAGCCCCAAAATACAGAGTGAATGTTTGACCTCAGAATATGATTACACATGTTAGCAAGGCTTCTTGTAAACCTAACTATTTCACAAAAAGACGGCAATTACTCGAAATGGAAATACACTAACTTGAATCCCTAGAGCTGGGATTGAAAGCACGTCATATACATATAAGCTACTGAAAAATGGAATATTTGTGGAAGCCCCTAACTTACCAAGATGCGCCATAGTTGATAACTGCCTGCAACAACAGTTTGATATTGGGATTCAGCACATCTAAAGCCATGTCAAATCGTGGCGTATATGTAGGAATAAAAAAGAAAGTTGAGGGAGTAGAATCTACACTGACAGGAGTTTTGGAAGTCCTGATTTGGTGAAAAAGGTCCCTTAGGTTATCATCGCTGGTTGCTGTAATAAGGTTACCAGGATTTTCCTTCAGCTGACGACGACAAGTGTGCAACTTTTCATTCTCTTCTTCTTTGCAGTTCTGCTCCATTTTGCCCTTCCACCACACGGAGAACTTGTCCTGGGCCGGCCGTGGTTTCTATGGGCTCTAGATGAGCGAAACTCCCAATCACTAGTATCATACAACTGTACATTCACCCTATTAATAATTGGGTTTAATGCACCAAATCCCCTAGTGAAATAAAATTTTTAGACCATTAGCCTCGAATTTTAAAAATGCATCAAACCCCCGTGTGTTAAAATTAAACATGCGCAAAACTTACTTTTCTTAATAATTAATCAAGTTTTTCTACTCCGTATGTAATGTAGCAATTATCGATGCATACCACCCGTGCAATGCACGGGGTATATCTAGAACCGATTAGTACGTCTTAAAAAAATTATGTTTCAAGATGGTATATAATATGTAATTTTCTAAATAAAAAAAGATGATAGAGTTTATATACTGTAACGTGACTTTGATTATATATGTTCTAATAGTTGTGGAAAAAATTGAACCGTATGAAAATTGAAAAAAGAAAAAGATAAATAAACAATAATGTGTAGCTATATAACTCTACATGAAAGGAAAAAAAAAAGCTTTGTACGACAATGAATAAGTTGATAGTATACTTATTGGTGAATCTCATAAAACTTTATAAAATAAAGACAAAACTGTCAAATAAGCCCCCTTACTGGTTCAAAAAAGTCAATTGAACCCCACAACTGAAACAACACCCAATCAAACCCTTGAACCACAACAAAAGTCAAATCCACCTTCTAACAGGTATTTTCCCCGTTTCCTGTTAAATTGCCTATGTGGCATCTCATGTGGCATTTTTTTTTCTTTTTTCTTTTCTCTTTCTTTTTCTTTCCTTCTTCTTTCCCGCACCCCTTCTTCTTCCCTACGCCTCATCATCGCACTACAAGTCTGCAATTTCTTCCTCCTTTTCAATTTTTTTTTGGTTTCTTTCATTCTTTCCCGTTCTCTTCTTACCCTAGTTCCTCTGCTTGCACTTTCCCGACCTCACTTCACCCTCCTCTTCCCCGATGCAGTCTGTGGTCTCTGACCAAATTGAAGCTCGAATCTGGAAGTGGCCTGGAGGTCTCACAGAACACTGGCCGAATGGAAGCTTCAACAGAGTACCTTTCCCGACTTCCAGGCCATAGACTCACGAGAAGGGAATGACCGGCCAACGAGGAGGTGTCCGCAGTGGCAGAACAAGGACTCGTGACTTGCTGGGGCTCATTAACAAAGAAGTCATATATATCACAAATATAGCAATAAACAAAACTATACAATTTATATAATTTTGATTAACTGAAGCGTCAAATGAAGGAGAATAATTGGGAGGTGGCAATCTATGTCTTCGAGGCACCATACTCTGAAATTGCCTCATAATGTCTTCATTCTCAACTGTAACAAAAATATGTGATAGTATTTCTCAATGTAACACATCAAGCTATATGTCAAGAATTCTTCTCCAATCGTAACATAGTGTTTCTTTCTCAAAAAACCTATAAATACTACAAATAATTTTCAGCCCTACAGCATTACCATTTAACAACTATCACAAATACTATAAAAAATTAACAATTAATAAATTAACAATTGAAATCAACAAATAACAACTAACAAGGACATTTACGTTTAGTTACATGCAGGGTTGGAGATGAAGAATCAAATGGTTGCTTGCTGGCTGCCGCCTGCCGCCAGCCTGCGTATGGTCCTTCTCGGCTAGTCGGCTGCTCCTGTTATTCGCTGATTTCACTCTACTCGCTCTGTTTTTTGGCGTTTAAGCGGAACTGCGGAAGAGAAGATTAGTTAGCGGGGCGGCTGAGGGCTTATGGGTTGGGTTGAGTTGAGGGATTGAGGGATTCAGGGCTGATGGTGGGCTTAATTATCTGGGCTGCAGGGGCTGGTTAATTAAATTTAACACATACACACACACACACACACACACACACACACACACACACACACACACACACACACACACACACATAGAGAGAGAGGGGGGGGGGGGGAGTTCATGTCAGGACCTCCAAAAACGGACCTCCGTACGGACCTCAGCGTTTGGGCTCTTTCCCGATGGAATTTTTTGATGAAATTTTTTGAGCATGTTTTCCATCAAGTCTAGTTTACCCATACCAAATTTTATCTAAAAATTCCATCGGGAAGGCAGTCAAATGGTTTTTGGAAGTTAACTGCATTTTATATGTATATAAAGTGAGCAGTTAACTTCCAAAAATTATTTGACTGTCTTCCCGATGGAATATTTAGCTGAAATTTGGTATGGAAAAACTAGACTTGATGAAGAACATGCTCAAAAAACTTCATCAAAAAATTCCACCGGGAAGAGGCCCACACGTCGAGGTCCGTACGGAGGTCTGTTTCCGGATGGTCCGCATTTAATGAAGAGAGGATTAAAACGGAAGCACTAATATGGCATGATATAGTGGTTTAAACAAATCCCACCCTTGATTTTATAATATTGAACAGATGAGAAGATTTTGCATTTTGTATGGGAAGCATACTTTGTATCTGATCTTAACCATATATATATATATAGGGAGCGGTTCCGGTAAGAACGGACTCTTAGGAGAGAAAAAAGAACGAATCTGGACCGTTGGATTGTATTATGTGGAATCAATTTGTGCATTTGGTGAAACTGGAATGTGCATTAAATGATATTGAAATGTGCAAAATAAAAATTTAAACTCAAGTGTGCATTAGATGAAATTGAAATGTGCGAAATAAAAGGTACAAAAATAACATCACGTCGTACTTTTTATTCTGCACATTTCAGTTTCACCGAGTGCACATTTCAATTTCACGTAATGCACAATTCAACTTCACATAATGCCACTGCATCGTACCCTTTGTGATGCACATTTTAATTTCACCTAATGCACATTACAGTTTCATCTAATGCACACTGAATTTCACTTAACGCAAATCTAACGGTCCAAATTCGTTCTCATTTCTCTCATAAGATCGTGTTCTTATTTGAACCAAAACCTATATATATATATATATATATATATATATATATATATATATATATATAGGGAACTCTTCCGGTAAGGTATACCTTACCGGAGCCTCCGTGCGGCCTCCACGTTTTGAGGGCCTTCCCAGTGAAATTTTTCGATGAAATTTTTTGAGCATGTTCTTCATCAAGTCTAGTACATCCATACCAAATTTCAGCAAAAAATTCAATCAGGAAGGCAGTCAAATGATTTTTCGAAGATAACTGCACTTTTTATATACATATAAAACGCAGTTATCTTCCAAAAATCGTTTGGCTGCCTTCCCGATTGAATTTTTTGCTGAAATTTGGTATGAATGTACTAGACTTGATGAAGAACATGCTCAAAAAATTTCATTGAAAAATTGCACCGGGAAGGTCCTCAAAACGTGGAGGCCGCACGGCGGCTCTGGTAAGGTATACCTTACCGGAAAGATTTCCTATATATATATATATATATATATATATATATATATATATATATATTTATCCCGGAAGGCAAACCACCAAAATCAGTGGGACAAATGTCGGGAATCAGATGTCGTTATTTTATTAATAAATAGAAGAGTACAACAGAGAGGGGGACCAGACCAAACCTCCCTCAGAGGCATACCTCTGAAAAGTCATCAAAACAAGATATAGTAGAACTATGGCGGCAAAACCTGACCCAAAATAAACAGACTGAATCAGAACAAAAGTTACTAGAATCAAAATCAAAGTGATGGAATGCCAAAGAGGTCCATATATATATATATATATATATATATATATATATATATGCTTAAATAATAAAAGCCAAACTTAGTTAGATAGTCCTTTTACCGTTCAATTAAACGTCTCATTCAAACGGAATTATAACAACTCTGTTAAAAGGAAATATTCGAACGCACGCAAAGGCGGTATTATAACAACGTAACAACTGCCACCAACAGATGCCACCAGTACGCGAATGTGTATTTCCATTCTCTTCTAACTACACAGGACCAGTAGATTCCTCCTCATTTTATTCTGCGAGGCTATCTTCACCTTTTATCTTCTTCTGCCAATACTAAGAGGTTTTCTTCCTTCTTACACCTATTTCTAAATCCATCTATTTCTTGCTTTCTGAAATTGTTAATTCCTCTGTTAGTTTTCAATCTCTGCCTGCACAGTCTTACTGGTCAATGGTCATTTTGACTTCATTCCCAATCCACTGTGGTAGCAACCTTTAAAACAAGAACCTTTAAAAAGTAGAGGATTTAATGAATGTCCACTACATGTTCCACAAAATGCCTTAACCACTTACCACTTTCCAATACTTACAAAGAGCACACACATATTGAAGTCAAGAATGCGCCCAGTAGAACCCTTCGAATTTCCCCAGACCAGGGGTTACACGGGCACACGGTCATGCTATCTTACACCATAAAGCATTCTTCCAACCATTAGTTAGGAATGATAATTAACTGCAGAGTTATGCAAACAAACATAGACTTTAAAACATAGGGTTACTTAATCATAATATAATAACGATGACCTTTCTTGTTTAGGTTAACTCATAATTAACTACCAGATAGGTTAATTGTACAAACCTAATAAAAAAACATACGCTTAAATATTGCATGCCAATCCCCTTCATCTACCCAAAAACATTAAGATTTTTCCCAATGTATATTGGTTACTTGTTAATGAAACTCTCATGCCTATATCCCTTCCTAATTAAAAAAAACTCAACACAGTTGGGAATTGTTCCTGTGCCTGTATTCAAAATAGTTGTTATAATAGGCATTTCAAATAACTCTTAATTACATCTCACATCTTTCTACACACTCTGCTACTTTAAAATTTTCCATTAAGTGTATTTCAATTTGTTTTGTGTTAGAATCATAGATAAACTTAATCACAAGGATCAAGTGCACAACACAATCATGTTGGCAACGTCTAAAGCTTATACCATTTTCTAAACATTACTTCTTATTGTCTATTGCATTTTCTATTTTGAAATCAGCATTTTCAAAGTGTCCTCTACAAAAAAAGGGCGTACCAATTATTACATTGATGTTCTACTAAAATAAATTAAAAATACGTGCTTTTCAAACCACTTCAATAATATTACCTCTCAACTTTAAAAAAATCCAAAATTAGAAATAATATTAAAAGATAGTGCCAAATTTAACTATATGAAGCTGACCTAACGTTGGACATTGCTCGCAAATAAGTCATCAAAGTAGTGTCTATTTCAGCAGATAGATTACGAAAGTATATGAACAAAATTAAACTTCTTATTTTAAAAAATTCTGCAGTTTAATTCTTTTACTCTTAAATCTTTTACACAAGAAGTAGTCAATTCTAATGTATATTGCTAATGGTAATCTCATTAATATATCCCTTTTCATAAAAAAACTTAACAACAATTGCAGCTTGTCCATGTGTCTAAATTCAAACTGGTTGTTTTTGCATGACGATACTCAGACTATGTACTTTTAAAAAATTCTATAACTATACTAATTAAATTACATATACCGTATTGTCAAAATTTTACTCTTACTTATTGCATTTAAATTTACAAAACGAATTGGTCCATTTTTAGCACATTAAATAACACTGTAAATAAACATAAAAAGAATGTTGCTCAAAGTAACGAGTACTGTTGCAATTGGTTTTTATTGGTACTATCACTAAAATATCTCCCTCTGTAGTATTCCAAATACTTTTTGCATTCATGATGTTTAAATAATACTTGTAATACATTTTTAATAATCACATTGGGCACCATTTGCACGTAGTGCGAACGCCGCTAGTAGGGTAAGGTTCAAGTGAGAAGAATCCTTTGGGTGAGAAATGAGAATGAATCTCAGTCATTGGATTCGACTAAGTTGCAGTAGAAGACACTTCATGATGCACTGAAATATGCAATCTAGCACGGTGGCATTTTTATAAATACTTCTGAAAAATCCATATTACACGTGTCTAGTGCAACATGAAGCTATTTCGGTGCAACGCCGTCAAATATTAGTGCAACATGAAACAGTTTTAGTGCAACATGTGCAAAATTTAAATATTACTGCAACATAAAGCCAATTTTAGTGCAACTTCGTAAATCCAATGGCTGAGATTCATTCTCATTTATCACATTAGATGTATTTCTCACCTGAACCAATTTTAGTGGAATCCAATGACTGAGATTCATTCTCATTTCTCATATATATATATATATATATATATATATATATATATATGTATATATATATATATGTATATATATATATATATAGAGAGAGAGAGAGAGAGTAGAGTTCAAATGCAAACCCATCTTAATATGCTAACCTACAAACCTAATCCTAGCCATCCATTCCATTTTGATCTTACGTGATGCGCTGTTTAACTTAATCTGACCCGGCTCTTTAACTTAATAATTTGAGGGTCTTTAAGTCTTTTTTAGTTTGTTTTAATTTTGGAAAACAATCACGTTCTTTTTGCGTAACTGCTTCTTATGTTCTCTTTCTGTAGCTGCTTCTTCATTACATATTATTTTCCTTTCTTCTTTCTTTGGTAATCAAGCTTTAGTTCATTCCCATCTCAGAATTTTGTTTCTTCTTCATCTCCTACTCCTTCTTGCCCCCCCCCCCCCCCCCCCCCCATGAAATTTTGCATTTTAGAAAATCTTTGTTTTTGTTAACAGGGGAGGCCATGGATTCTGATATTAAACCCTAGTTTCATGAATTCTCTTTTAATTTATCTCTAACTCCTACTCTTTCTTCATCCCCATGATATTTTGCATTTTAGAAAATCTTTGTTTTTGTTTTTTATGAGATCAATGATATTTTAAAGTTTTTTATTTTCGACTTGATGAAATTTATCAAATCTGTATTTATAAAAATAAAAAAATTTTAAGTTTTACTAGCTTAATCTGCCTGAAATAGTTATGGTGTTCTAAATTGACTATATAATGCAGATGCTAAAGCGATAAGATGCAGTAACTTCTAAATTGAAAATGAGAGCTCATCTGACTAAAGTCAATATACAACTTCTAAAATGCACATGTCATAATGATAATAAAATGCAACATGCATATGAGCTCCTAAAATACAGATGTCACAAAGTTAAGATGCAGTATGAACTTTTAAAGTCCACATAACTTTCGAATAGAGTGCAATACACAAACTTTTAAAATGCACATGTTATAATGATAAAATGCAAGATATGAACTACTATAATGCAGTATTGACATATTTATGACTATATAGTTCTAATATAAGTTATGAAGATGTTATAAATATATAATGTGACATGTATCTCTTATATTATGTATTTCTACTAATATACGATTTAAAACATGTTTCTCTAATATTATGCATAATGTGACACCATGAAATTCATATACATGTCAATTGAGTATACAATGCAAATGTTATAATGATAAGATGCAGCAAATTGTCTTCTACGATGCACATGAAGTTGTACTACTAAAATGCAATACATGAACTTGTAAAATGCACGTAATGATAAAATGTGTGCAACATATAAACTATTAAAATGCAGATGCCATAACGGAAAGATGTAGTATGAACTTCCAAAGTGCACATATCATCATACTAAAATGTAATATAAAAACTCATAAAATGCACATGCTATAGTGATAAGACGCAACATATGAAACACTAAAATGTAGCGTCGGTGTATTTTAGCACTATGTAGTTCTATTATAAGTTATGGAGACATTATAAATATGAAATGCATATCCCGTCACCTTAATATGCACACCCCCTAACCTTAATATGCATATCTCATAACCAAAATATGCACCGTAACCTTAATATGCAAAGACTTGTACAAGTGTTTACTTCTTCATTCCGATAGCTCTCCAACTTACCTTCAATAAGTTTCAAAATTTCAAAGCTAATTATGGAGCACCTGAATTCGTAAATCAAGAGATTAATTTTATAAATTATTTCACATGTTCTTGTAGTGAAGCCATTATTTAAATTGATAATGCAACCTTCTTTGTTGGACAAAATCTCACCTTAATATGTATATAGATATTCAACTTGCTCCTGCAATTGTTACTAATCACACGAACCTTTTTAAATTTGCTAAAAATGGAGGTGTAAATATTAGTAGTGGGTTACTTTAATTGATTGGATGTCAGTAGTGGGTTACATTAATTAGTGGTAAATATTACTGGTGATTTGTTTACGTGGTCTTTCCATATCAATGTTGCAGTTCCATTTTTAAAATGTCAAATGACATCGATCACCTTCCCACTAACTGCTGCAATTTAATAGCCCATACGCTTTACATTCTCTACATCTCAACACACGCTTCATTGTCGTGGTCTCATGGATGGTGTTTATCCGCTCTTGATTCTACATATTTGAACGGGTGTGATGAGTTTGTAGGTTAGCTCTGGAAGCTTGGTTTGCATGGGATCCCCCCCCCCCCCCTATATATATATATATATATATATATATAGGGGAAAGATCAAGTACAAAGTGTGCTTATTGTGCAAATATTTGTACGATGCACCTTGACGTTATTTGCATTGCATATTGAGGTTCAAAGTATTGCACATTATAAAGTCATAAAAATAATAGTTGCACATTAAGGTGCAACGAGTTGCACCCTAAAAAGTTGGGTTTTATTACAAAAATGCCACCTTGCCTTTATGTCCTTTGGATCAACTCATCGGACGGTCAAGATGAGTTTGTACTTTGTAAATTAAGAAGGCTTTGTATTTGATCTCTATTCTATATATATATATATATATATATATATATATATATATATATATATATATGTTCAAATAAGAACCATGCTTAACGTGAGAACTCCACTTTTAAGCGGATGTGATGCACTATATCATGTATATGTTGCACATTTTCATGTTGATGAAATATTTAGGAATCTGCCACCGCATTTATTTGATATTAGCATGTTTTGATAAAAATTTAAAAAGTGCAATAGATGAGCCTCATAGTGCACCGAGATGCATTAAAAGTGCATGGTTCTCACGTTCTCACGTTAAGCATGAATCTCATTGGAACCGCTCCCTATATATATATATATATATATATATAGAGAGAGAGAGAGAGAGAGAGTAATCTTCCGATCAGGAAATTCCTGACCGGAGTGTCGTCCGGCCTCCTCCTTTAGGGGGCCTTACCGGTGGTATTTTTGCTCAAATTTTTTGTGTATGTTCCTCATCAAGTCTAGTTCATCCATACCAATTGTCAGCAAAAAATTCAATCGGGAAGGTCGTCAAATGATTTTTTTCAAGTTAACTGGTCCGGAATATGTATTTTTGACGACCTTTCCGATTCAAATTTTTGCTGAAATTTAATATGGATGAACTAGACTTGATGAGGAACATACACAAAAATGTTGAGCAAAAAATACCACCGGGAAGGCCCCCAAATGGAGGAGGCCGGACAGGGCTCCTGTCCGGAAATTCCGGACAGGAATATTCCTATATCTATATATATATGTGTGTGTGTGTGTGTGTGTGTGTGTGTGTGTATTAAAAGAAAAAAATCTGCAGGGGCTGGCGCACCCCCACGCCCCTATGTACGTCCGCCACTGGGTGTCCGGCCTGCAATGGGTATTCGAGCCGTTGAGCATCTCCGGCGACTTTGGTCTCCTCGGACTTTGAATAGTGGAGTGCCGTCTGACAACTGCTGGGAGTGAGAAGAAAGAAAAAGGAGGAGAAGAAAGTGTGAGTAGAAGAAGATGGAGGAAGGGGGTGAAGCTGTGCGTGAAGGTTGCAGGAAGAGAGGGTGGTGGAAAGAGAGGGAAAAAAAAGTTGGGAAAAATGAAAATTGCCATGTAGGATAATACATAACCGGTTAATATGCTCCTTTTCAGGTAAAGAAAAGGATTTGACTATTTTTTGGTGGTTCATGGGTTTGATTGGGTGTTTTTTTAGTTGAGGGGTTTGAAAGAGTAGGAGGGCTTATTTGACAGTTGTTAAGCCCATAATGTAATGGGCCGGTGCATCATCGAACCACGCATTGCAGCCCAACCGTAGATTGGAAGACTCTGGCTACCTAACCTAGCAAAGACCGGCATCACAAGGAAAGAGCCCAAGCAAGGAAAGAAATAATGAGGAATGAGGGCAATACGGAATTCAAAAAATAGGCTCCCACTTCCTTATTTAATCATGTATAATCAATGAGAGAATAAGATGAAAAAGGAAAGAGTAATTCGTATATAGAGGGGGACATTCGACCCTAGGGAGGACATTCTCTACAGAATTGATAGACTACTGGTAAAAAGCTTATAAAAAACTTTTTGGTTATTCGTGCTGATCTCATTCTATATTTGCATGATTACAATTTCTTCAATATCTTCAGTATAGTTTATTGTTAGCATAAACATTTCATTCATTCTTAATCACCCCACTATCGATTCCTATTTTCTCGATTCCCGTTCAATTAATATTCTGAGTTTAGCTTATTTTGGCTAAAACAATTTGGCGCCGTCTGTGGGAAATTCGTACAAAAAAGAATCGATCATGGCCGAAAGCTCTAACGCTTTGATGGAGGAGATTCAAGCCCAATTGCAAGCCGCCGAGGAAGAGTTGCGCTTAGCCAGGAGCTCTAATCCTTCGGCGGACGATGTTCAGGCACAAATGAAGGCTGTGAGAGAGGAAATGCGTCAACGCATAATCTTCCTCCAAAGGGAAAATGACGCTTTACGATCTCAGGTACAATCGGTGGTGGCCATAGCCTCCAGCTCGCGATGGGGAAAAGAGATCATGTCTGCGGCTTCATGGTGGGATACGGACCCAATACCGGCCTCAACCTCGACACTTACCTTCACAACCGAGTCCTTTCCGGAAGTGTTGAATTTCGATCCGAACGGCAGTCCCTACTCCCCGGTGATTTCACAACTCGTGCCCTACAAACCTCTTATCCCGGAGATGACTCCAGCGACGAGTATCCCGATGTGTTTCTTCCCAGATTCGTTGCGAACCAGGCCGCCGACATCTGGTTTGCAGACTGTCAACCAGCAGATGCTGATTCCTATCACCGTGTCAGCACCAACGGTGCCTTTCGTCCCTCACTCCGGAACCAACACATCTGGAGGAGCGGGGCCTTCAACTCGTCTTGTCCCACTCACAAATCCCAGAAGGAATGTGTTCCGGAATTTATTTGTGGAGCCCCAGAGGCGACAAGTCCCAGGCCATGTCGACATGACCAAAGGTGTCGACATCAACAATCAAAGGCGTCAGGAGCCAGAGGTATCACCATACAGTCACTGAGCGAACAAAGGACGACTCAGGCAGTAACACCCCTCGAAGCAGTGGGTCTGCAGATGCCAACAAACACGACAGATCCCTTGGTCGTCATCATGGAAGAGCTGAGGGAATTGCAGGAAAATGTCAAAGGCATCCCTGGGGTCCCCCGTCCGATTGACGTAGCGACGCAAACCTGTTATGCAGATTAACCCTTCGGACGACATATTGCAGAAGTTGAGATTCCAAGGAAATTCACTGCACCATCAATGAAGTTGTTCGACGGTCCGATCCAGTAGAACATGTCGCTCAGTACAAGCAGCGAATGTTGGCCATCTTTGTCAGACCCGACCAATGAGAAGCTTGTATGTGTAGAGCATTCGGGACAACATTGACTGGACCAGCGTTGACGTGGTTCGTCATCTTACCAAACGAGGGCATCAACTCATTTGCAGATCTGGTAAACTTGTTCACCCAGCAATTTGCGAGTAGTCGGACCCTGGAAAAGCAAACCAGCGACTTGTATCGTGTAACCCAAAGGGGTAATGAGTCCTTACGAGATTACTTGCATTGTTTTAACAAAGAGAAGGTGTCAATCCCAAGATGTGACACGCTGACAGCCGTGGAAGCATTCAGGAGAGGACTGCGTGAAGATTCAGACTTGTACAGGGAACTGACTAAGTTTCCATGCAAGATCTTTGAAGACGTCCAGGCCATGACGTTGGCCTTCATCCGACTTGAGGATGATTAGCACTTCCTGAAAGCATGACTACAGGACAGGAAAACCTTACACTAAGAATGAAGATCGACCCGTAGCATCAGCAACTACTTGATTTAATGATCCTAGCCTGCCACCTTCTATTCCAACATACTGCTTCAATGTCAACACTGTCGGACTTATCAACGCCCTAGACAAATTGGGGGAGAAGGTCTGATGGCCCAGGAAGTCGGACAAATCCAACGGGTGACGAGATCCCAATAAGAGATGCGACTTCCACGACGACATCGGACACAACACGGATGATTGTGTCGCTTTGCGGAAAGAGGTTACCTACCTCTTGAAGAACGGGTACTTGACGGAGATCATGTCAGAGCAGAAGAAATCCATGTTGCACAGAAATCAGAAGTCATCTGTAGATCAGCAACGACCTCCTTCACCTACAGCGCCACAAAAGGTAATTAATTTCATTAATGGTGGTTCAGATTTATGTGGACTAACCTACTCTGCAGCGAAGAGACAAGCTCGGGAATATTCCCGAGACAAGTCGTCGCAGGTGTATCAAATCGTCCGAAAGGAAGATGTGACACCGCACCCAGATATACTTGAATTTGGAAGTTGATATGTATTTGAATTCTCTAGCGAATAAAAATTAATTAAATTAATGCGCGATTAATTAAATTAGTTATCGGGTCCATTATATGAGAGTGGGCTACTAAATATTTAGTTGGGTCATCGTAATAATTATAAAAGCCCAATAAAGTGCCAACTAAAGTTGATAAAATGTTTGGACAACCCGGGTGCTATTTTGGCCCAACCTGCCAAAAATAGAAGGAATAATTGAGAGAAGCTTCCTACACCCACTTGAGGATTTCCAGCATGAGTTGAGGCCTCAATTTAATGATTTGGAGACAAATGAAAATGGCTTGGGCGGACTTGGTGAATGAAAGGATGGCTGAAGACAACCAACCACTATTTTGGCCATACAATTGCATTATTATGGTCTTGATTGAATAAGGATATTTCCCCCCACTCATTTTTCTGAACCGAGGCCCGGCCGGGCCCAGGCCCGAACCGGGCCCGAACCGGAACCGGTCCACCCCTAAAATCACATGGTGGGTTAAACATGGAGTTCTACACGTTTAAAAGTGTAGAATATTGTTATGAAATGGTTGTATTTAACTTAGAAGAGTCGTGGAATCGATATGGGTTGAAATCGCCAGAAACCACCACTTAAAGGAAGCTGTTCGCAGCTGCAGACCACGAAAGCCGCCCAACGTTTGCAAAAGCCGGCCGGCTTTCGTGTGCTGTCCAGGATTTCCATCTCCAATCGTCTTAGAACGGGGATTGATCGAAGGGCTTAACAAAGGCAACTATTTCAGCACTTCATAAGGTGAGGATGACTGACTATATTGCTTATAATTAATGTGTTAATTTAATGAGATAACCTAAGGTAATTAAATATGTTTTTAAAGATTATTAATGATTAATAATGCCTAAGGATGAGAAGACTATTGTCTATAAGGAAAAGGAGCATAATATACAATTTTAAGAATAAATTGTGTATGATTATGTGTTTGAGCATGTTGGCTTGATAAAGGAATTAACTATAAACTTTATGTTGAAATATAATTTTTACTTCATACAAGAGTATATGAGTGATTAAAAGTTATATTTTGTATAAACTCTATGTTACCCTTACTTTATCTGCATGTACACCCAAAAGTTTAGATTAGAAGGGAAAAATTACATATATAAAATTGATTTAATAATTTATTGTACTTTACATGTATACTACTTAATTTGTACTTTATTTCCTAGTTTTTTTTTTGTTTTTGAAAAGATGCATGTGCAGAATTGTACCATCAAATAATATTATTGCTCATGATTTTAATTGTAAAACAACTTTGAACACCCAAAATTTAGATGTTAGATCCACCAGTGTCTCAGACTCCCAGTGATAAACTCATCTCAAAGTTGCCTTGAATGAGTGAGGATGCGATAAAGTAAGGGTAACATAGAGATCATTTTGCAATTTTCTGAATCATTCATAATCACATCTTTATTCATAAGATTATGCTACTTAATAATCAACAATCTAGAAATGTTAAATACACGCTGCTTAGGCAGAAGAAATTGAGTAGCAGATATAAACCCAAGTCATCTGTACAGCTGTAAGATGAAGACTAGAGTGATCAATCTAGTAGAATCTAGCAACCTGCAATAAATTCAAACAGAAAGTGGTTGACTATATTGTACAGTTTTACTATAAGCTCACATCTTCTCATACGAGCTGTCTTTAACTTTAAAGGCCGCATATTGAGACACATTTTGAGCCTAACGCTATAAAGCAAACTGTGGTTATGCATTAACAAAAGAGGGGTGACATTTACACACTTGATAATACGGAAATTACATTTCAATATGGGCACTATATGAGGGACTGAAAGTGCGATTCTATCTATTAAAAACTTTTAAAGATAAAGTAGTATGGAGTAGTATAAATGTTAGTCAAAAAAGGTAATTTGTGCACTAGTTCTTATCAATATAAGCCAATTTAACCATTGCGGTCAAATATGGTTTGTCCTGTGTGCCGGGTGTTTGGTAGGCATTTGTTGGGAATAGTAGCTAGTGTTAGTGCTGCATGGCTTGCACAAAGCCATGAACTGTACTTCGAGTGTGTTTCGAATATTAGCTATTATTTTCACAAAACACTGACTTATTCTATAGAGCTGTCTGAAATGACTGTTAATGAAAGCATTAGTGCAGAAGTTCAATTTTTAAAAAATAATTTAGAATATTTCAGCCATTTGACCAATTCAGCCACAACTCCAGCAAGTTCATTCACTATGAATTAGTGAATAAAGCTCACAATGAGACCCTACCAAACAAGCTATACTGTTAACAGTAGACATGTTTAGATGCATGCACCCCAAGCACAATGAATTTCTAAGTGCACAACGGTGAGAAATCTAAACACACAAGTACACAACACACGAGAATCAGTGACACATATACAAATTTACAACAAATTACCTATTTTTCTTCATGAACCCTTGGCAGAAAAAAACTGCAGAGTATCCTGGCGCAAACAACTCAGCAGTCCTGAACCCGTGGCATGCGTATACTTCACATCGCGAACTGGATCTCTAAGAGCTTGGACACGCAGAACATCATTCAGAGAAGGCAACTCTTGAAGTACCAGTTCACACGACGCTTCGTCACCACAGGCAAACAAAGCCTTGTTTAGATTGTCTCTTTCTATTATGGTAGATTTTGGGAAACGGAGACTGCTGACATTGGCAAAAGAAGTACCCACCTTGTGATAACCGCTGCTTTCTATACTATACACAACATGAGAGCCTTGTACAGCCACGTCAGTATGGGCAGAAGAAGGGGAAAGCGTTGTTTGAGAAGCGACTACCGTGTTGCCTGATACCTCCACTTTAGGACGAAATGAAGCAACAATGTTACTAGTTCTTGATGCATAAGCAAGAGAAATACACACTCCTTGATTCTCTGATTGAGGAATTAGACTTGGCCTTCAGTAAAAAGTGATTTTAAGCCATCAATACAAGGGAGATAATAATCAATAAATAGCTCATCTGTAAGCTTGTTGGTCTTGTTTATAACAAATTAAGTATGATAGGTTCAGTTAATCCGAAAAAACAAACATAAAAAATATACGTAGAGTTGATGAAATATCACAACTTCGTCATACCAAAGTTTAAAAGGTGTGCTCTGGTCAGACCAACTTTTTTGGTTTTTGGGCACTAGTAAATGTGTTTGTGAAAGCATCAATTTTTTGTATAGGCACATGACACCTTTAGAACCATAGCTTTAGGGGTGATTGGATCTGCTTCTTAAAACTGCTTCTAATCTTTCAGGGAGCACAAACAGATATTTGAGTCTTTGGGTGAAAATGCAGAAATACTTCTAAGGGCTCCAAAATACTCCTAGAAGCTGTTTTTTAAAAGCTAGGCAAGTCCAGCTTCTGAAAACTGATTCTGATTCTACTTCTACTTCTAAAAAAGAAACAAAAGCAGAACCAATTCCAAACACTACATTACTTGATCATAGAATTGTTAATTGTTAAGAAGTGCATGAAAGATAAATAAATAAAACATCTCGAAGTTACCTTTGCCCATTGCAACCAAAGTTCCAGTGACACAGTCCAACTGAAGATGCACTCAATATGCTTCTTCTTGAACCAGAACCACGTTCTGGACTATTTAAAACAGAGTGCATAGTATGAATAGGTTTGACTGCTAACCCTTCGATGCACTCCACTGATCTCATAGTTTGACGCCTATCAAACTCCATAATCATCCCATTCTGCAAGAATTCACACATTTAACAAAGTGAGAAATCACAGAAATTTGTTTTTGTTTATTTTTTTTGTTAGATGTTAGGACCTGTAAACCAGCATATATGTAGTATGGATTGTTAGCATCCCAACAGCAAGACCAAGCAGCAGCCTGCAAAACCACTTATCATAAAAACGCTGGGAAAAGAAATAAAATGCTAAGAAAAGTGCTCCGTGATATTTTTAGAAAGAAACAAAATATGATACTTTTAAATTTTTTTACATCCTCTGCTCCGTCCTTTATAACTTTGCCATCTTTCCTTTTTGGGGTGTCCCAAACACTTCGCCACTTTCCCTTTTGATAAGTTAATTTGTGGTTTCTGTTATTTCTCTCTCCTCTACACAAACCTCAACCACATGGTTTTTAATTTATTATTTCACATGCTGGTCAAACTTGGCAAAGTTATAAGGAATGGAGGGAATATATATTTATTTTTATTTATATCTTTATATAATTTCAGAAATAAAAAATGTGTTTGAACAGACATGTAAAACAAGTTTATTAAGTCTGAACCTGTCTCCTATCCCCCGCTAATTTTTCCTTATTAAGTTTCTTCCTAATTCCTTTCATAGTATTTTTAGGTTCTAAACGACCCTTTAGAGCTAATGAGAAATGATGCATCTGCGTGCAAACTACTAAAGTAATTATAAAGCTTGCAACCAGCAATTGAAATCCTTAAAAAGCAAATCAATACCAATACACAAAGTGTAACAGTAATGAACCCAAAACAATTCATTACTCTCTACAATGAAACAAAGCCCAGAAATATTACCGGTAAATCATATGTTAATATTGTATTGTTGCTTTCCGTACTGAGCCAAAGAAGAAATAAGCAAAAATAAGTCCATAAGCATTTTAATAGGTTGAAAGCTCAAGTCCAAATGAGGGAATCACCTACCTAAGAACTGATAGTTTCTTCCCCAAAGAAGCCAGAAGCACAAGCCTGTCATATGGTGATATGTGAATGTCTTTGATCGCTTTTGTGTTCAGGGGAAGTTCAATATCTTGTTTTTCATGTTGAGAAAACAAGCTCATCTGTCAAAACCATGTGAACAAACAGTAAAGAAAGAAATTGATCATCAATTTGGATAATACGCAAAAAAACAGAGCTACAGACAAAGTGGAAAAGCTTATGAATTACTTTTGTAAGAACATGTACTCCCCCAATTCCAGATAGCCTTCTTGCAATGATGAGGATTTGACTGGAAACATCAATGTCAAAAAAGCGAGCACCTTCAATCTTCATCTCTTTCTAGAAAAAATAAGACAATAATAATGTGCTTACAACAACAATCATAACAGCAGGAATAAATGTGTTCCAACTTCCAGTAACAAGGAAAAGTGCATGATAAAAATAACAAACATCACAGAAGAGAAATTGCAAACCTTCAAGCAAAAGTGATTGCAATAGCCATGCCAACCATGGTTGCAACTACTACCTACATGTTACGACAAGCTTCAGAGCTTCTTCTTGTAGTCTATTACAATATTTGTCAACATATTGCTATCAAGAACATGTATTTCTTGTGGATCCCTTTACCTGAAGTGTACAGTTCTGATGTTTGCATTTCTCTAGACAAACCATCCATATTATTTTTCCTCTGCAAAGTCAAATGCACAAATATGAAGTGTGTAACCATATTAGAGAAACATCCAAACTCATACAGAAGCTCTATAAATGATTGCAAAACTTAATCATCACATTCTATTAGCAATAGAAACCTATGGCTTAAATGGAAAAACGCTATGCCATTCAGAATCAAAATGATTGAAATGCAGTAACACCAACATATTCTATAGATTAAGAAAAGAAAAGTGCATGTAAGAGAAGAACCACAAAATGAGTTTGGAGATGAAAGGACTTGTACACACACTGGAAATAAATCACTCAGAACCCAAATAACTCAAATATTTACGCCAATCAGAGTAGTCAAGAAACGTGCCTCTTTTAATCGGCAAACTTGCATTTGTAAATCAGCTTCTGTTCGATGCCACTCAACTTCTTTTTTACACCAATCCGAACACTACAGAATAAGGGTTTGACATTTGAAGATCTAATAGAGAAAAGAATAACCTAAGACTGCATTATAAATTTATAACAAATAACGTTTATTTTAGTATTAATAGAAAAGCAGCAGTTTAGTTCACTCAAGATGATCTGGCACACAGATCTGTGGAAGACAACTACAAAGGCCTAAAAGAGAACCATAAAACCTGAAAAGAAGAGTACTAAAAAGCCCAGTAGAAAACTTTAGACCATAGTTTATAGAGATATTACCTGAAATAGGACTAAAAAGGTTTTAAAATTCCAAAAATAGGGCTGTCATGTTTTTATTCTCAAAATAGGACTAATTACTGTCATGTTTTGGCAGTACCAAACTTTAAACATGACAGTATTTTCCAAACATGGCAGTAATTACTCCTATTTTGAGAATAAAAACATGTCAGTCCTATTTTGGAATTTTCAAACTGTTTTAGTCCTATTTCGGGAACTTTCCCTAGTTTATAAGTATAAAGCAAGGAGTATTGAAGAATGTTATATAAAGAATAGTTATATAAAAAGAATGTTATATAAAGCATAGTTTATATGCCAGAAATTGTTATAACCAGAGTAGAATGTTAATACAATATTTAATAGGGAAAAGTACAGAAAACATACCTGTGGTTTAGGCCATTTTCAGATAGGGGCATGCGTTTCATTTTCTAACAAAGTAGGACATGTGTTTCAATTCTGTTATCATAGCAGGGGCATGACATCTAACGCCGTTAGAAAAATTAACCCCGATTTTAAAAAGCCTCCGAAAAATTAAAAGAAAAATACTGGGAGGTGCGCCTCGTCAAGGAGTTCAACAAACTATCTTTATTTTTTTTGTTTCCACCCACCATATTTCCAGAAAGTCCATCAAAAAATTGATACTAGCGAATTTGTTTTTAAAAAATAATCCAAATAGAGCAAAAAAATCCAAAGAGAAAGATAGTTTGTTGATCTCCTTGACGAGGCGCACCTCCCAGTATTTTTCTTTTAATTTTTCAGAGACTTTTTAAAATCGGAGTTAATTTTTTTAACGGCGTTAGACGTCATGCCCCTACTATGATAACGGAATTGAAACACATGCCCCACTTTGTTAGAAAATAAAACACATGCCCCTATCTGAAAATGGTCCAAACCACATGTACGTTTTCTGTACTTTTCCCTATTTAATATTGAAGATACCAAAAGTGAAGATATTCCAGAGGACCTTTTGAAATGAAAGTCCAAAATCATACAAGTCAGAACATTGATGTTTTAAAAAAGTGTTTTTGAGGCTTGCGTGGGTGTGAGGTGGTGAAGAAAAACTTTGAATCTTAAGCCTCGAGCAAATGCGCTAAGGCTCACGTGGACCACACAGTTGCCTCAAGGAAATGAACTGAGGTTTAAGGAGTGGGGTAATGAGTGGTCGGATGTACGCAGCCTTACTCTTGTACTAAGGATGTTTTCATTTGGACTGAAATTTGCTAGTCTGGTCTGGTAAATGTCTAATCTCTATGTATTTTATTACTATGGAAGTTTGGCCTGGTTTGTTTAAGGCTGGTCTGGTCTGGAACCGAAAACAGTCCAATAGAAAACATCCTAAAGAAAAGATAGATTGTTTCCGAATGACCCATGATGAAAATTGCGTTGAAAATTTCATGGATCGGCTGCTATTTCATAACAAAAAAAAAGCGCAAACAGTTTTGTGAGTCATTTTGTTTTATTCCATTATATTCCCAAGCTAAAAAATATTGAGTCTTTGGCTCCATTGTTAATGATGGAAATTTACATTTTCTTTTAGAAAAGTATGATGGTGGCCAAGGACACTTATTTAGGATTCACTTTCATATTTTCAAAATTGATGGCATGTTTTAATTTGTTAGTACTTTTGTATGGTAAATGAAACTTTGTGTAAAGTTTGGCACTTGAGCCTCAAACCACCTCGAGGTTCACGCCTCCCTCCCAGATACAAAACACCCCAGGTCTTAAAAGAGGCTTTTGGAACATTCATGACACATGAATGTACAAGTGATCGCATATAGAACCCATAACCTATGATTTTATCAGTATGGTTTTATGAGTAGTGTTATTTGTATATAAAAATAGACCCATATGCACTAGATCTCTGAAAGCAAATTAGACATCTCCACTGAACAGTAAGTATAAATTATAAAATTTAATTTTCTCACCTTTTTCTCCAATGAAGCACACTTAGCTTCAAGTGATTGAATTTTCTGAAGAGCAAAATCCAATTAAAAAGGAGTTTAAATCAATTAAAAATGATGCTAATCTACTCTGCAAGGTTATTAAAAAGTAAATAGCATCACATATCACCTTTTGTAGTTTTTCATCCACCGCATGAAGTTGAGATGCATAAAGCAGCCGGACGTCCTTCATTTTGCATTTCTTATTGCATTGAGGACACTACATAGAGAGGAGAGGAAGGGATGAATACAATGTCTTGATGAACATACAAGAAAGAAGGGTTTCTTCAAGCATTCCAAGAAACATAATGAAGCTGAACACAACCTTTTCTGAACTTTTTCTTCGTTCCAACCATTTCTTTATACAAGACATTCCATATATGTGCCCACAAGGCAGACAACTGCAAGAAAACCATAAATGAAAATCAAAGATGAAGCCAAGTTTACTAAGAATATATAGACCAGGAAGGGATAAAACTCCATCTATCCCATTTTATACATCCTACTCCATAGTCGACCCAATTGGCCAATTCCGTTTTGTCTTATTTTAGATATGAAATTTTTATTACATGTAAATTTGGTCTTTGGGTTTAATAAAGCTTTTAGTTAGTTTTAAATATGTAATTAGTATAACTACTAATACGGAGTACTAAGTGAAATATTGTCAGGGGGTTAACTTTATTTGCAATCAAGTCTTGTGACCAGATGTACTTCAGTACTTGTTATAGTTCTGGAAGGATGAGTACTTGTCAAGAAAGAATGAAACAAAAGAAGCAAAACTTGTACAAAAATAATAAGCAGTACCGCCAGTACGTCTCCAACTCTGCATTGATAGCTCATTGTAGAAAACGAGAAGTATTGCACTTCATATAACGATTTTAAGAAAAAGATAAAGAAAATCAGAGATGTAAAGTATATAGCTGACCAGATTTGATGGTTACCACCGCTAGACCAAGCCTCCATACAAATTGGACAAAACAAGCCATCGATGTCACTCATATTCCAATCATCTTGCTCTTCCCCACTGTCGTTGTCCTTAAAACCTGCCAACTTTTCTACCAATTTCGCCCTTCCAGCTGCTCCATCATCCACTGTAATCTCAGAACCTTGCACATTAACCACCGCATCTTGTGACGACGCCCTAGTTTCTCCTCCATCGCCATATAAAGCCCTACGCCGAGTCAACCTCAAGGTACCAACCCCTTCCTCCTCCTCTTCTGTCTCCTCGTCGGAGTCGCTTTCTTCTCCTTCCTCTTCTTCTTCTTCTTCTGTGTCGTCATCTTCGCGTTCATCTTCGTCTTCTCCATAATCTTCTCCCACTAAATTTTCATCCATGTCGAAGTCGTCGAATCCAGCGATGAAGACCCGGGGGGGGCCTTCCGACCTTCGGTGCATCGAAAGCGCCTCACTGATGCAAATGCTGCGATTGTTATCCCTCCGTAAAAATGTCTGCGACTTTTTGAAGAGTTGGCGGGCTAATTAGCAAATCCGGAATCCTGGCATTTAGGGAGTCATTTACGATTTTACGGTAAAAGTTGGTACTATCCCTAAATTCGGGTGTTTGATTAAATAAGGGATTTTATTTTTTTTTGGTAGAAAGTGATTTATATTAAATAATCACAATTTATGTAAGATATAAAAAGATAAAAAGTCCATTTTTAACCTTCTGCCCTTTAACCAAACTCAAAATTTATCACCTCCAAACAACAATGTGACTCGTTAAGATTTAACTGAACTAATGACGGTGTCAATATGTCTTTCATCACTCAACCTAAACTTTAAAAGTGTTTCTAACCAAAAAGTAAAACTGAGAATGTTTGATAAAAAAGGGGGATTTACCTAAGAGAAATTTACTAAGGTATGACTAAAACTCAATGAGTTTCTCAATCTATGACCTAACTAGTTTTTTTACCTTTGTATGACTAAAAATTTCAAAAAAAGAAATTTTGTTTGTTTTGAAAGGTTGAAAGACGAAAATGTTCTTATTCAAAAAGTGTAGCATTTTGCACTAATTTCCTTCAATTAAAGTTACTGCACTTTATGTTATCATTAATGCATGATATCAATGCACGACTTTACTGCACATTCAATAATAATCATTGCACTTCCGTCAAAATTTATTCTCTTCTCATTCACTTTGAGGATTTTTTTGCTTTTTTAGATTTATTAATTTTATTATTTTATGTCTAATTAAGTATATTGCATTTCATGATGATATTACTGTTTTATTTTAATGCAATACTTGCCATAATCACTGCCAATTTTTTTTAATGCATTCATTCACTGCCATGAACAACATGTTTATTACCATATACTCCCTCCGTCCCATTTATATTGTCATGTTTTACCTTTTCGGAAAGTCCCACTTAAATTGCCTTATACCATATTTGGCAAAGTTTGTGTGGCTCTAAATCATTCTTACTTTATCAATTAATATCAACCACACAAATCCACTTTTCTTTATAACCGTGTCACCCTCTTCCGTCCCAATATAAATGGGACGGAGGTAGTATACTCACTGCTCATACATAACACTTATCAACGCATTCACCGCAGATTTTAGATGCCCATATTTAATGCCCACAAATCATGGGTTTAATGCACCAAACCCCCTCGTGATATGGAAATTCAGTGCATTAGCCCCATGTGATTTGAAAAATGCGTCAAATCCCCTTGTGTTTTAATTAATCATGCACAGAACCCCTTTTATGAATAAATTTAACGATTTGGAAATCACTTTTCCCAATATTCTGATTGAATATGCAAGTAAATATGTCAAAATCTCTAAATCATACAAAAATGTTAATCATTTTTCTTTTATTTGGCAATTTATTTTGTTCATAGAAGGGATTTTGCGCATAATTAATTAAAACACAAGGAGTTTGACGCATTTTTTAAATCACAGGGGGTTCATGCGCCGAATTTCCATATCACGAGGGGGTTTGGTGCACTAAACCCCACAAATCATAATCAATACCCAAAGGAAAATGCTATATGTACACATGTAGTACACATAATGTACACCATATATAGTCTTTTTTACCTTTCCCCTTTACCATTCACTTTTCTCCCTTTTCCTTTCACCTCTTTCTCACTCTCCTCTCCAGCCCTTATCTCCTCTTCTACGAAAATCCCCCCTCGTTCCAGTTTTTCTAATCCTCCGCCTCTCCTTAGTAATAACAACCTCTCATTTCTAAATTTTTCTTTTCTTTTTGTTGTTATAGAAGACGGGAAGACAACATCGACAGAACCAGACTCGGCCATTCGTTTCCATTTCCATCAAGGTATTCATTTTCCCTTCATCTTCCTTCAATCCAATCTCTTTAACCCTAACTCGTTAGATAATAAATTTCCCCTGTTTCGTTATTGTTAAATAGGGTTTTAACTCCGATTTTTTGTTCATTTATAAAATATATATTTGTAAGAGATGTGAATATTGTGTGCTTTGCTTTATTATATATTTGTTCCGATTTTATGTACATTGGGTATCATATAACCTTGAATAAATGATTTATTCGTTTTTATCATAAGATATATGAAGTGTTAATTAGTGAAATTTTAGGGCAATTACTCTAGTTCATATATGCGCAGGATATGTGTTTGTTGAAATTACTCAATGAACTTTTTGTTCAAATTCATGATTTTATTCTCGTTTTTGTTAATGTACATTAGTGTTTAAGAAAGCTGTGGTCATGTCATTGCAAATCAAAGGAACTGAGATCATGGTCAATGGATGCCGCCTCTGTACTACTCCTCTTCTTAATTGCAATGCGAGTAGGTAAAAGGGAAAAATATTGATATTTTGCTTCATCCATTGTATTTTTAATTTTGGACTGTAGTTGAATACTTAAATAATATTATAGTTAGATATGAACTTATATTTTAATTTATTTTCTGTAATAGTAAAGTTAATTATGGTGCTTTAGAACATTATTCTCACATATGTTTATGGGATTTTTATTATTTAGCCTAATAGTATATTTAACGAGTTGCAGGGGCATTGAAGAGAATGAGAGTATGAGACCTATCCAAAATATTCTCTTCCTAGCTCGTAATCCTTTTCTCAAGTATCTCAACTACTTTCACATATTATTGCATCTTTTGAGGTGTTTTGAACACTAAGATTCTTGGAAAAAAGTCACACATCTTGCATATTGTGTGAGTTTGATAGATTCTGCTTTGTTGTTCATGTGTATAGGGTTATTTTCTTTAACTATCATTAATTTCACACAGTTATTTGCTTGAACTATCATAACTTCAGTACTATAGTTGAACTTTTGGAGTTAAGCTTGTTGGTTTAGGTAGAAGATATGATTGGGATTGAGGATCGATATTAATTAAGTAAATGGGAAGCTCTCTCATCACTGTAGACAGTGATGTTGTAGATATTCTAACCTGCTAATTATAAACTAGAATTCAATTCTGTTTCAATGTTAATATCTCAACATTTAATTAAGCATGCTTGGAAGCAGTATCTTTAATGGTCTTTTTATGGATCTAAATGTGGTTTAACTATTATTAATTGTCTTTTCATGTATCTATTACGTTGACTAGGTAAAGTGTGGGATTGGGGCAATATGTAGGTATTAAATAATTGAAATGGTTTGTGTCTTAATCTGATTTGGAGAAAATATAATTTTTGGGTTATCCATGATGGAAGTGTATATTACTATATGAGTAGGGAAGTTTTAGTTTTACCTATTTTTCATTTTCTTTGTTTCTAGGAAAGGAAGGAATATCAAACATTTAGGTATCTGTAACAATATGACATATTGTTTAGTTGAGCAGGTTAGAGTAGTAATGAAACTCTCCCGACATATGCTCTTTCTTCTTTTCATTTTTATAACTCCGAACCTTTTTTTATATGTGTGTGTAGCAAACGTAAAATATTTCGAGCTTCATTTTTTGAAAGCGATGATCAAAGTCAAAGTGGATGACAATATTAACTGATGGAATGGCAGATGCTAAGGTATCAACTGATCAAAGTCAAAGACTGATGATGTCAACCGAGAGATTGAATCAGTCTAGTGATAGCATAAGAGAAGCCCGCAAAGTGATGTTGTAAACTCAATAGCTCGGGGTTTCAATCCTTCACGATTTGCACCAGCAACGCCAATCTCTTCTTCATGCTCATAATACACTCCATGGAGTGGATGACAATATTAGCAGAAGCAAGAAGATTAGACAAACATGTCAATATTGATTGTTTACTTTAAGTTTGGGACATTAGTCAAATTCCCAGGTTTTTGTGTGTACAACCTTTTGGTGTGTGTTTGAAACCAGAAAGCGTGTCATTTTGAAATTCTATTATCATCCTTTTGACTTGTGATTCAGGTGTTACTTTGTAAGTTTGAGGTCATTGTTTGGCAATTGTATGTTTGCTTAAAACATCAAAAGCTACAGTTTCGTAGCTTGTTGTATTTGTTGATTGATGATCATAAGTAATTCATTTAAATCATTTCCACATAATATACCATAGCTTTATCTTTATTATATACACATATGAAGAGTATAACATTAAAGAATAATATTGTTGCTCGATTGCAGTTTAGTAAAAAAAAAAGGAAAGCATTTAAGGATTACAAATGCACACAAAAAATTGATAGTGTTTGGAATGCTAATGAGCTAAGTGAATATGTCTGTGAATCGGACCTGAAATGTCCGGTCACATGCAATAGTCACGAGAACAGGCTATTGGGCTAAGTGAAATTGTTTGTGAACCAGACATGAAGTGTCTGATCACAGGCAATAGTCACTCACAAAACCATTAGATACAATGTCATATTTGATCACTTATATTTGTAGATACCATTATATTTCAATTTTGAAAGATCATAGTGACAATGCTAATAAATTTTTAAAAAAAAAATCCATCCAAAGAACAATTTTACATAGAGTGAAATCAATTTCCAATAACTTTAAAATTTTTATGTGCTGATTTTGCTGAATGGAACTTTACATTTTTATGATACATTTTTCATCCAAGAAAAAAAAATTAAAAACTCCAAGAGTTTGTATTGAACGATACAATTTTGTATTGAACGTTTTCAAGAGTTCTTTTAATTTCTCTTAGTTTTTATTGCTTTGTGAAATTAAGTGTGATCTAGACATGAATTGTCTGGCCACGGGTGATAACCATTGGAATGGACTGTTTTGCTAAGTAGATTTGTCTGTGAATCAGATAAGAAATGTCTCGCCACAAACAATAACAATTTGGGATAGGCTAATGTGCTAAGTGGAATTGTCTGTATACCCGACATGAAGTGTCTTGTTACCGACAATAGCCAATGGAATAGGCTAATGTGCTAAACGAAAATATCTGTGAACCTGGTCTAAAGTGTCTGGTCACAGACAACTTCACTTAGACAATTAGAGTGTTCAAGAGACTATTGTCTGTGACCAGACAATTCATGTCTGGTTCACAAACAATTTCATTTTGCACATTAACCCGTTCTAGTGACTATTGTCTGTGACCAGACACTACACATCTTGTTCACAGACAATTTCACGTTGTACATGAATCCTTTCTAGTGACTATTACCTATGAGAATTTCACTTAGCCCATTAGCCCGTTGTAGTGTTCAGATCTGTGTCTAGGCACTTCTTAAGTTAACAATAAATTTATTATATTTAAAGTTTATGTAAACTTCATGGTAACCGTAAACTTTGGCATCGGTTAACTTTGAAACTTTATGCTTATCAAAAGAAATTCAAAACGGAATTTAACAATTAAATTATGTTAAATGCCTTGTGTACTCAAAACAATGTCATGACTGTCATACTAATTACAAAATATAAGTGAAACATATACATAGTATCTACACCATAGCTTCCTTGTGAAGATTTTCTGTGTAGCTGCTCAAATATTACTAGGCTTGAGGTACATGTTTCCTGAAAAAGTAAACATTACGAAGTAATTAATTGTAATGTAAAGAGTCATAAATCTGTCATATATTCTACCCCATTTTGACACCACCATATGCTTGACCAACGGGTCATCTCAATAATCAACTTTACCTTTCATTTCACCCCGTAAAGCCCCATGGTGGAGCAAAAAAAAACTAACTGCAACACAACTCTTGCAAACAGTGCATAGTTATCCATTGCAATGAAAGTATTGATTCAAAGGAGGAAACACCACCAACACAAAATGGTTATACAGAATAGATAATGCTAAACCAACATTTAAAAACATATCATTTCAATACAAACAAATGTGAATTCTTTAACTATTGTGTATATATATATATATATATATATTCAATACAAACAAATGTGAATAATTTAACTATTGTGTATACATATAAATCACATAGAAAACTTCGACAATATATTCAGCCATTTGATGTTCATTATAAACTCATAGTTATGGTTCTCTTTGTGCAAGAAATATACAGATTATGTGATCTAACCTACAGCCCTTACCGCGTTTATTTCATGCCAAATAAGAATCTTCATTCCTATAAGTTGGAATAGAAACTGAGACATGCAGCTTAAACAATTGAGGGTTGGGGGTTAATTAGGAAAAGCCAAAAAAAATATAAATTGAACCGAGGCCCGGCCCGGACCCGGGGGTTACTCGGGCCGGTTCCGGGCCTCCCCTTTCGTGAGCCGAGGCCCGGCCGGGCCCAGACCTGAACTGGGCCCAAACCGGCCCGAGTCCACCCCTACCCGTTGCCAATGCCTAGCAGCAGCCCAAACAATATAATTGAAAAAAAGAGTTGAATTTGTGACCATCAGGCCCAAACAGTGCCGGTCCACTAAAATAGGAATCCGATGCCCGCCTCCCTTGTCCACCGGACCGGGTACCGGGTTAGTAACAGTTCCAGTATCCCGGATAAATGGGCCCAGGCCGGTACAAACCTTACCCGTCCGAGGTCGGGCCAGACCGACCCAGTCCATCCCCAACGCCACCTCACTACAACTACTTTGGCCACCCATCCACTGATCCACCCAAGGCACTCTGGAGTCTGGATGAATACGCCTCGTTGGAAACCCCCAATCATCAGAGCATACATGCAACAGAAGAACTCCAGAATCCAAAGTAAAGGAATTTGAAACCCACCATCGCCAATGACATCCAACAATCAAGAAGATCAAGCAGCACCAAAACACTCATCCGATCTCAAAGGTCAGCACTATGGCTGGACTCGGGCCCGGTTCGGGCCTGGGTCCGGTTCGGGCCTGGGCCCGGCCGGGCCTCGGGCCAGAAAATTGGGGCCCGAGCCCGAACCGCTGGTGGCCGGTTCCGGTTCCGGTTCCGGGCCAAACCGGGCCGGGCCAAACCGGTCCTTTTTTTTTTGGTTCTCCTATTTAACCCCCTACCCCTCCCCCTCAACCACCTCAAATGGCCCAAAATACCTAATCCAACCCAAAACTTAAAAAAAATTCAAAAAAAAAAATTAAAATCCAGCCCGGGCCGGGCCCGAACCGGCCGGGCCGGTTCACCTAAAGCAGAGCCCGAGCCCGGACCGCCCATCACCCGGCCCGGGCCAAACCGAACCGCTGGACCCACCGGGCCCGGGCCGGGCCGGGCCAAACAGTAACCGGGCCGGGCCAGTTCCGGGTCGGGCCGCCCGGCCCGAGTCCACCCCTAGTCAGCACTACCTTCAAACCCTATGAGAGGGTTACCAGATCACTCTTTCATCCAGTTCGTATTAAAATCAGATTATATATTTAATCAGATTCTAATGAGATAGAATTCAACAATACTTTTCAATATAATTCTCATACATCAATAAATTAAAGGTACATTGACTAGTGTTGCCAAAATAGAGCATTTGACTAGTGTAAAATTCAACATGTCACAACTAAAGTGTAAAAAAACAAAAGATGGAGCATACTTACCAGGTGCATAATGCTACCCGAAAACACAACAGGCAAAATTGAGCAAATTACAGGCAAAAAAAACTGGTACAATTGCAGATATGTCCTGCACATACAAGTGTGGTGGGGGAAGGGGGGTGTTGATGGGCTCTCATCACAGCCATCAAAGGTTCTGTTTGACAGTAATTCCAGTAATCTCTACAACAGTTTTGGGGCGATAATGATTATCTGTATCCACTTCCTCAATCTCCTGAACATAAAAATGCACAAAATACTCTCAAAAAATGCACAACATGAAATCTAAGTATATATGTGCTTCTAGCAAAACATCATATCCTTCATTTTTCTTCCCATTTTCAAGTAAAACCAAAATCAAGAAAAAAGCATTTCCCCCCCTAATAACATTTTCTGGGATCCAAACATGCCATGAGAGGCTGACAATCTGTTTGCAACATGAAAACACTATGGAAAGAGAATCGGGAGGACGATTTAGAAACGTTATTATTATTATTATTATTATTATTATTATTATTATTATTATCCTTTGCATTTTTAGAAACAATAAATAATAACTTTACAAGATCCAAGATCCAAGCATAGCCCCAATGTTTTATGAAGTGTTTGCTATTAGGAAAAACTCAATCTCTCCCACACCTTTTTTGTAAGAGCTGTGCTTAGTGTACACACCGAGCGTGTACACACCATTTTTACACACCATACAGACAATATTTCTAAACAATTGCGATGTTTTACGAATTGACTGTACTCAATCAACGTGTAATCAGGCAATCAACGTGTACCAACAAATTTGTCTTTTTTGTAATACTCAGTTATTATTCACCCAAAAAAACTACAAATTACAAATACCCAACTTTTTCAAATAATTATAAATAGTACTGTATCCACAACATCTGAATGAAAAACATTTAAAATTACAGTTTTGAAACCATAAAGCACATTTCAATTGCTTATCTAAACACCAGTAGATATACTAAAATGGACCTTTATGTTGATTCAAATTCGGATTATTCAAAACTGCTACAATAAAAAAATGCTAGGAAAAGATTGGGAATTACTACCTACTTTGTTTTGTTTTTTAAACTCCATGTGGTTAGAGAACAGGTGTATGTGACAGACTGACAGGAAACGTTTGGGACTAATTAATACCTGAACAACATCTTCACCCCTGATGACACGCCCAAATACCAAAACCTTTTCACCCAGATCAGGAATTGGAGCAGTTGTTATAAATATATCAAATCCTCCAACCTCATATTTTGCCTTGGATGTACCAATCATAAATGCTTCATGCTTCAGGCTGGGAAGTTTTAATGAAAGAAAAAAAATAACCACAAATAGTAACAAGACTAAAAACCATACAGTGTAAATTAATTAAATATAATCAAAGAAGAAGAGAAAAACCTTGTGTCAAGGTGAGCATAACTTTTTACCCTTGACGTCCATTCTTCTGTAGTTTCCTGTCTTTCAACCTTACTTCCGTGAATAAAAAAGTTTTTAACAACTTGGATAAGTTGCATCCCATTAAAGTGTCCCTTTCCGCTGCAAATACATTGTGACTCATATCTTCAAGTTCAAAGAATAACAAGTAAGACAAACAGAGACCTGAGCCAGCTCAGAGAAATGGCTCTTCAATTAGAAACTTAATTAAAATGTAGTTTCTTGTTTTCTCTCTAATCAGGTTAGAAAATCAAGTTTCAGCTGTTGAAATATTACGAAAATATAAAAGCATATAGTGCAAACTTGTAAGAGTGTGATTATGAAATTAATACAATCCATTATCCTTTAATATAGAAAGGGAGAAGAAATACATATGCCCCAGAGCTATATGTCAGTGAATAAATATTAAATACACCCCTTTTGGAATATTAAATAGAAAAATTGTAAAGTTGGAATGAATATACCCCTATGTCGAATAGTTGAGAGTACATACGTTCTCTAGTACAAGGGATCAAGTATGTTATTGCGACACAGTTACAATTTTTTTGTTTAATTGTTCCAAAAAAAATAGAAGGATACATATTTTCTCTCACATATAGTTCAAGGGTATATTGTTATATATCTTATAATTATGAAGACTCTTGGTGATGAGTAGTTAATTACCCCATTAATGTTTATTGGCTGCAACAGAACTGAATATTAGGCAGTAAGAAAAATGTGTACCACAAATCAATAAATTCGTCAACAACTTCGGAAGAACTGTCCTTATGAAGCTCAGCAGTTATCATGCCTTTTGTGGTATGTATGAGCTGTCAGGCACAACTTTATCAATATCCTCTAGACAAGAAGTAACACATTGAAGGACAATTGGACAAATGTGACCAAATGAATGAGAAGTAAATATGGCTCAATTCCACAAGGAACGACTGAACAAGTTTTTGTAACAATTCCACACCGATCAAGTATTGGCTTGATCGGTGGCTTATAAGCTAGGTGTCCCCTCCTAGTCGGCTAGTCTTTTGGGGCTGAGTACTACACATGGGCTTATGGCCTTGATATGGGCCTAGTATGAACAAGGTTCGTATCAATTGGTATCAAAGCCATCCCCATCTTCCCTGTCCCAACACTCGGAGTGGCGGCCTATGGAGTGGGGGGGGCTTGGGCCCTGGGGTGCCAACCGTGACCAACATAGTTGTGACCAATGAGGACATTAGCTCTTCGAAGCGTGTGATATTGTAACGATCTCACACCAATCAAGTATGGGCTTGATCGATGACTTATAAACTAGATGTCCCCTTCTCCTAATCGGCTAGTCTTTTGAGAGTGAGTTTTACACTTGGGCTTATGGTCTTGGTATGGGCTGGGCCTAGTATGGGCTAGGTGCCTAGGTTCGTATCAATTTTCAATATAATTTATCAGTTTTTCAAGATACCCTCTAGTGTTTGTGCGTCATTAGTATTTTAGAACTTACAGCATATTTGGCAAAATCAGATTTCTTCTGTCCTGCAAACAAACTTTCGCCCTGCAGATCATAAAAGAAACACTTTCACAACGGGAATGGGCATGACATAAAATAACTAAAAATAATGCTTCAAATTACTCTGCACAAGAATATGTCACGTTTCAAAAAAGAAAATAACTATAATTGAAGTTATCAAATATTTTCAATCGAATGCCTTAAATATGATAAATCTAGTTAAACAAACAAGTGAAGAAACAAAAATTACGTATCAAATTACTTATAAGATTGGTACCTTACTTAAAATGAAAAGATTGTATCTTGCTAAAACATAATCCTTTTTTTGGGATGAAGACAGTATGATAAAGGTCGTTGTGCAAAACATAATATTTCAGCCTTGGGAATACAAGAATCAATATTTACTAGGTTACAACACATTTTAAAGTAAAGGAATGTGAAAGTTTACCTCACCTGCATCTGTTTGGAGCATGGACCTAAATCAAAATAAAATAAAATAAATAAGCAACAAAGTTGTATCTGTGTTATAAAGCAATTCAAATCAGCAAGGGGTTGTCATTGAATAACTAGAGAACAGAACTACCGGCCTGTTGGGATAGAACAGACAAGAAAGGCATGTTGAAAGCATAGCTATAAGTATATATGTGAAGCAAAAGATGTGGTCAGTTTTGGGGGAAAGTAAAATACTAGATTGATCCTTGCAGCAACATAGCAAGGCACTGGATGGACTCGGTTCCATACATCTTGCGGCTCCTAAGGAAAAGGATATCCCAATCAAACATAAAATACATAGTACTAGATTGATCCTTTGCAACACTTTCCAAAGGCACCAGCCGCTGAAATCTTGGAAGAAAAGGTGGAGACACACACTGACAAACACAAATATGTGATGGCTGTTTCTTTTCTGAGAGACTCCCCTAGCTTAGTAGCATGATGAGAACAGTAAATAAAAATCAATGGAATAAACAGTTGCCCAGAATAATCAACGGTAGAAACCGTTGCCCAGAACCAAAAGGCTGAAATCCAATTTTATTAACTGATGAGCAAGAATGAATCCTAACAAGGGGTTTAAATACCCATCAAATAATTCCCAAACTAGGAAACAAAATCATAGAAATCCTACTGAACTCCAAATAGTAAAGTAGAAAACCGAATAATAGAAATCCTAATTAACTCTAAATAGGAAACAAATAATAGAAATTTTAATTAACTCTAAATAGGAAACATATAATAAAAATCCTAATTAACTCAAAATAGGAAACCAATCAGGAAAATTATAAAAGAATAAAATTAATTAAATGGCACGCAGCCAGCCCACGAAGGTGGGCTTAAGCCTGTCCCCGCCTGCAGTAACCCGATAAAGGCCTGGGTCTCGGACCCTCCTCTTCCACACAGCCCCTGCTCTCCCTGCTCTCTATCATAATAGTACATAAGCTTTTAAAGTTAATCAGTCATTGTCGTCAAAGGAGCTATCACATTGGTTTACTTTATCAACGCCAATAACTGTTACACTTTGATATGGAAGAAGTCTAGCAAAGATGCTGGCTTAGACAAACATGGGCTATCCAAGGCTTCATTATGAGAGTAACTAGATGGACTCCTAACTTCCAGCAAGATGTTATATCCGCAATTGTACCGGTTTGGATCATTTTTGAAGGCAACCCTATTCACCTTCATGATAAAAGGGCGCTCTACTCTATAGTGGGTATGTGATAAGAACAGAAAATTAACAATCAACGGGGTTAACCGTTGCCCAAGCTTAAAGCTCAATTAATACTTTATTCTGAATAATAATGATGATTCCCTCCCGAACCATTCCCTTTGAGGGATATAAATAACCTAGACATCCTGCGTAGGGTAGAACTTCTAAACAGACTAGGAAACCTTATTAATTAAACTAGGAAACATAATTAAATAAAAACTAGGAAACATAAAGCAATAATTAAATAACTAGGAAACTACTAATTTATTCAGCCCACGGAAGTGGGTCCCTCCCGTCCGCGCCTTCGATAGACCAACAACGGTCTCGGCCGCTCCTCAGCCTGGGTCTTCGCTAGCTGTTCCGCGACCTGCTCTCTATCAACTTCATCCTCCCTCGGAAGAACCTTGTCCTCAAGGTTGAAATCTGGAAAGTGGCCCACACAACTTGCTTTATCGATCCAGGAAGCATCATCATTCAGTTGTCCGGCCCATTTAACTAGCAGCTCCTCTACCCTGTCATTTTTCCTCCGACTAGCTAATATTTCCTCAGGCTCGAACACTGGACCGACTAGAAGTTCCAAACTTTCCGGCAACTCATTCTCTATCAGGTGATCTCCTACCACCTTCCGCAATTGAGACACATGAAAAACTGGGTGAATACGACTGCTGGATGGAAGCGCTAAGCGGTAAGCTGTCGTCCCGATACGTGCTTCAATAAAAAACGGCCCATAAAATTTGGCAGATAGCTTATGGTAAGGCTGCCGGAATAGGGAAGTCTGCCGGTGAGGTCTAACCTTCAAAAAGACTTTATCTCCTACCTGGAAGTCGATGTCGCGCCGGTGTTTATTTGCTTGGGTTACCATGCACTGCTGGGCCTTCTGTAGATTGTCTTTTAATCGCTTTATCATAACATCCCTACCCCCAAGTACTTCTGCCACTGCTGCCACGGTGCTCTCGCCAGGTAGAAATCTGCGAATGGTGGGTGGAGGCCGACCGTAAAACCACCTCAAATGGTGAGATCCTTGCTGATGTTTGGAACGCCGTATTATATGAGTATTCAGCCCATGGCAGCCAACGTACCCACAGCCGCGGCTGCTCACATGTGAAACACCATAAATATGTTTCCAGCACCCGGTTCATAACCTCCGTCTGTCCATCTGTCTCCGAGTGATATGCGGAGCTAAATTTTAATTGGGTACCTGACAAGGAGAACAGTTCCTTCCAGAATGCATTTATGAATAGGGAGTCCCAATCACTAACAATGGAACGTGGAATGCCGTGTAACCTTACCACCTCTCTGGAGAACGCCTCAGCCACTGATCGTGCAGTGATCGGGGGTTTAAGGGCAATAAAATGCCCATATTTGGACAAACGATCTACAACCACCAAAATAGATGTGCACCCCTTCGATTTAGGCAAGCAAGTAATGAAATCCATTGAGATGTTTTCCCAAATCAGGCTAGGAACCGGCAAAGGCTGCAGCAATCCGGCCGGGGACATTGCCTCATATTTTGCCTTTTGACATACCAAACACTGAGCAACATAGGCTTGAACCCGACGGAACATTCCCTTCCAAAACACGTTCGCCGCCAGCCTTCTATATGTCCGGTATGCGCCCGCGTGGCCTCCGGTGGGTGTGTCGTGGAATTCCTCCAGTAGCCGAGGAATCCATTTTGAGTCTTCAGCAAGGACCAAACGTCCCTTAAAAAACAGCTTATTCCCGATCAGCTCATATCCGAAAACACGAGCCGGATCGTCAGCCAGTGCTTGCATAATATCCTGTAAATCTTTATTTTTGAGTTGCTCTTCCACGGCCCCAATTTGTTTGACGCCTGCCAATCGTTCAAATTGATTCCCCTGAAATCGGGAATCGAATCTGGATACTAGGGCTTGCTTGAATTCTTCCCAGGGCATGCCGGGTTTACGCGCCTTCAACCAGGTCACCCAATAGAGGGCTCCTCCTTCCATGGCCACAACAGCGGCTGCAACTTTTTTCTCCGGTATGGTTCCAAAAAGTTCGAACTGTTGTTCGGCTCGAGCTATCCACCCGATCGGGTCAGACCCGTCAAACGTGGGTAACACAGTTGGGGCCGGGTTGCGCAGCCCCCCGTCAACGTGCGGCACCGTCATCGCGCCACTGCCGACTCCAATCGCGTCGGCGTCCGGCGTTCCAGGCGGTACTAATGCCTTGGTTATCACGGCCAACGAAGCTACGATCTCCACTAGTTTCTGATTCATCCGGATCTGCTCGGCCCCAGTCGGGCCACTTCCTCTCCTGTGCGACCTTGTTCGTTCTCCAATTCTTGAAATCGATCACTCTGAGATCTCGTCATTGTTGCGGGACGGGATCCGGCAGGTCGGACCAATTGATAAGAACAGAAAATTAACAATCAACGGGGTTAACCGTTGCCCAAGCTTAAAGCTCAATTAATACTTTATTCTGAATAATAATGATGATTCCCTCCCGAACCATTCCCTTTGAGGGATATAAATAACCTAGACATCCTGCGTAGGGTAGAACTTCTAATCAGACTAGGAAACCTTATTAATTAAACTAGGAAACATAATTAAATAAAAACTAGGAAACATAAGGCAATAATTAAATAACTAGGAAACTACTAATTTATTCAGCCCACGGAAGTGGGTCCCTCCCGTCCGCGCCTTCGATAGACCAACAACGGTCTCGGCCGCTCCTCAGCCTGGGTCTTTGCTAGCTGTTCCGCGACCTGCTCTCTATCAGTATGATATGTGCTCCACTTATACATGACGCTGCAACTTTAAAATTTCATGTCTCTTCGTAGCATGTGTTTGTGTTGAACTGGATCTCACCAAAGAAATGCCACCCAAAGTTTGGATGAAGAATGGATCTCAGGTTTCTATCCAACCGGTCCTATGAAGATTGTCATTTTTACTGCTCCAGTTGCTGCAAGTTGGATCATAAGCAGTATAGGAGTCCTTTGTAAACAAAGAAGCTTGATCCCATGTCAAAGGAAGGGAACATAAGTAATTAAAATGCTCAAACTGATAAAACAGTCTCTAAATTAAAGCAGATTTGGAGGCCTAAAGGAAGAGAACTTGAGAAAGCCAAGGAAGTGTCATTAATGGAGATGTTGATGGTACTTCAAACACTACAAAGGATGTTATTCAACAAAACTCGCAGCACGCTGGAGTTAATATCATTCATGAGCCTACAAAAATATCCCCAAATAATGAAGTTGCCAGTCTCCTGTCCAAAGTACATCGTGCAGCTGAAGTTGACAAATTGATTTTCAATGACAAAGTCACAAAACTGATGTTAAAGGCAAATTAATCCCAGAATATTAGAATATGAAGCTTGATATGTTTCGGAAGGTTACAATCCTAATAATAACAGCCCTTTAACCCAAAAAAATCCCTCTTATTCTAGCCCATAGTCAAGCTAAATTAAATTTGGCAGCACTACTGAAGTTCAAAAGGTTGATGAAATTATTAAGGTTTCAAAGAAAAGGACTGAAGGACTATTCATGTTGTTCTCCGAGAGTTACTACGCAACATGCTGCTAGGAAGTCCATCAGCAGTCAACTTGCAATGGTATCCCAATGAAAGTGCTCTCGTGGAACTTGAGTGGCCTCTCGTCTTCATGCCGGAGTCAAAGCAAAATTGTAAGGCAAGATAATATTACACTATTGGTTATTATTCAACCTATGATGGCTAGTTTGGAGGACCACTCTTTTAAACTCAAAACTGGTTTCACAAACATTAATTTGCTCAAAGAGCAATTCGCCGGCAAGAGGGGGAGCGGATGAAGGCTAACGAAGTTGTGGCAATGACGGGGGGATTAATTCGAGGTGGGTCACTTTTGTTGAAATGTTTAAAGAGGTCATATTTTTTGGAACCTAAAACAGTACTCAATATTAATAATATAAGGGTCATTATTTTTTTTATGAAATACGGGATTATCACCTTTTTAACTCCAAATTATTCATAGTTTGTACAATCTCAGTCTACGGATGGTAAGCAGATATGCAAATTCAAATCCCCGCAAAGGGTTGTTGGATTAAAAGAAAAATGATCTATAAAAATATCTCAGTTAGGGTACATTTGAGATGAAGAATGATTTTTTCTATCTTATAATGTCCTCTTGTAGATGTACTTGATGTTACCACTGTTTCTTATGAGTTCACTTTCATTAGCACTGCCAATCATGTTGAATTGGAGGCTGGAATGTTAAGCCCAAATGAACTTTCAAGATTACATTTACCAAACTTCAAGTCTCTAACTTTCTTTGATTTTATGAACTCAAATGGTTTATGGGTTAAAAAAAACACTTTTAAATATTTCGGGTATTAAGGATCAGTTTATTGAGGTTAAGATAACTCACATTACTTCGTCTTTCACATTGTTATTCACCCTGATGAATGGCAGACAAACAAGGCCAGCTACACAAGCACAATGGCAATCTTGGAAAGTCAATTTTGACTGTTATACTCTGTCATGGCTTCTGGGAGGATACTTCAATGTTATCCCATATATATCTGACTACAATGGTAAGGCAGGTCCTTGTTTGGACAGTATTCAGGACTCTTCATCTTTAATAGTTGATAATCATCTGTTTGGACCCTCCATATGTTGCCATGTTGGTTTTTCCTTTATATGGACAGGAGTGAGAGTATAGATTTTAGATTCCTATCTAATAAATATTTTTAGATTAATTTGGTGACATTCAAGTATAACATTTGAGTAGGGCATCCTTAGATCATCGTCCTGCTAATTTGAGGTGTCTTTCATTAGCGGCAAGAAGACCATCACAGTTTCGTCTCCAAAACATGTGGCTCACTCACAATAACTTCTCGGCCACTGTTAAAAAGTGCTGGGAAGCTTACACTTTTGAAGGAAGGTGTTTGTGGTCTTTTGAACTTAAATGTCAGACGCCTGATCTTAAAAAGTGGAATAATGTAAATTTTGGAAATATTTTTATGGCATTGCTAAGGGTGAGGAGGAAGCTTTCTAGCAGCAAAAGAACTGGAGATCCAAGAGAGTGATGCAGCCAGAGAATTCTGCTCTAGAAAACAGGATCAACTGTTTCTTAAGCTTCAACTGGAGGAAATATTTTGGAAACAAAAAGGCTGATATTAAATGGCTCAAAGGCTAATAATAGATAAGCTGCCTTACCCAAGTACTAAATTACAAAGACTATTTCCGTATGACACATGATGAAAATTGTGTCGAAAATTGCATGGACAGTTTAGTGGGCCATTTTTCTTTATTCCATAATATTCCCAAGCCAAAAAAAATAGTGAGTCTTTGACTCCATTGAAAGTGGTGGAAATGATGCAAAAATAAATATCTGAATAAATCCAAACTTGTATTTCTCTTAATCTCTTACCACTATAACCTTCATATAATTTAACTGTGACTAGATCTTCAAATTCTTTCAAATCAAATATATCAAGTATTGAAAATTGCTAAAGGGAGCGCACTAGAAAAAGAAGATATTTAAGTTCCCCTGAGTAATTTCAGACCAAGAAGCCATGAGAGGTTTGAGGATAGAATATTACCCCCTACATCCCAAAACAACTTCTCGGCTTGACCTACACACATATTTATGCAAGATAAAGTTTTTCTTAGAATTTCTAATTATACCCCTACTTCATGTCAGACCAAGTAAAAAGTAAGGGTAATTATGAGTTATGACATTTACTAGCAAAAAAAATCTTTTAATGGAAATGGAAGTTTATTTTGGGACATTCAAAAATGGAATCAGGGAGTTGTTTTTGGGACGGAGGTATAAAGGGTGAATTGAAAAAGGGATGAAGGTGAAAACATTCTCAACAAAATTTTCTTGAGGTAAATAAAGAGCTGCATAGTTCAAATTCAAATCATCCTGTTATTCAGTCAAAATTTAACTATTATTATTATTATTATTATTATTTTTTTTTTTTTTGATGAAATGTAAATACTCCCTCCGTCCCGGAAAATTGTTCCCTGTTTCCTTTTTGGGCCGTCCCAAAAAATTGTTCCACTTTCCCCTTTTGGAAAATTTTTTGTGGCTACAATTCATTTACCTTTTTCTTACTCAACCACAACCATACATTTCCACTTTATTCCCACTTTCTTAAACTCCGTTCCAAGTCAATGGGGGAACAATTTTCCGGGACGGAGGGAGTATATATTAACACCCAAGAGAAAAAAATACATCATGTATCCTAGATCTCCTAACCCCCACCCCCACATACAGAGGTGGGAGAGGTTTTTATTCGATCTATTCTACGTCATAGTCAAAATTTTATTAGTCCACTAACGTTGTAGTTTATTAGTCCTGGAAATAACTAAGAGTTCAAGGGTTGCACACTTGCACCTACGAAATGACAAACACCTCTAAAAGGAAAACTTTGAACCACATCCCACAGTCACAGAAAAGGAAAACACCTCATTTGTATCTGGCATACCTTCTCGACCAGTGCCTGTATGTGGCAAACAGAAAAAAAACCATTACGGCAACAATGAGTGTGTACATAACAATTGTTGCAGCACTAGTACGGCTTGGGCCCTTCTTCTTTTTGCTCTGCAGCAGGAGAGCTTGAGGTTTTATCCTCGCCATGAGTCCTTGCAATTTTCTGGTACTGATCCCTGTACATGAATACATGGTCGGAATTATAAAATGAAAAAGCATGTTGAACACCAAATCCTTGACCAAAAATAGCAAATTAACAAGAAGTTTAAGTAAATGTCATCATACAAATCAAAATGTACTTAAAGCATCACCGACAATACAATGAAGCGAATTAGTTGATAAGTGTGCATCTGTGGAACAAATTACGCCCTTGAGTTTCCCTAATTGAACATGACACGCATCCATGCACTCATTTTAGATCGGGGTAATAACGATAGAATTCAAGTCGGAATCAACTAGATCGTGTACAACCACAACAAGTGGAATAAAAATCACATTCTATTCCACTAGAAGACTATCTGTAGTAATAGAGACTCGGATATCGATTGTTTAGATGACATTCAGTTTCCAGCTAACGACCACACCAGACCTGAGGCAGAAACGGCGAGGCGTGTGATTGTGACGATACGAGCTGGAAGGGCTGGACACGGCCGTGAAACGTCTGGTTACGACACACAGGATGAAGGGGTGTTAGAAGGGAGCGCAAGGATCGCAGTTTCCTCGGGCAGATGCCCAGACATGGGGAGCGAAGTATCTTGTTCGCCCGTAATAATCCTATTCTACATTCTAATCTGTTTTGCTTTAATTTTACTCGAAAAAAAAAACAGAGAACAGTACCCTAATTTGCATAAAAAGAGTCAAATAAGTCTTTATATTACATACTACTAATCTTTTACCCGTGCGTTGCACGGGATATTAAATTAATTAGGAGTGACAAAAAACTACTCCACATTATTCACAATCGACCTATTATGATTGAGAATTGTTTGAAAAAATTGTAATTGCAATGTAATTCTAATAGTTGAAATAGCACTTTTAGACAATGATCATGGCAAAACCAAACATGTCACACCTTTGGGGGGGTATGGTACACTATTTAAAAAGCACAGAACAAATAATCCATTTACCAAAACCGATAATTGAATTTCTTTCAAAATACACATATATGAAGTTATAGTATTTTTCAAATACAAATTATTCTATTGCATACATCCACATACATCAAATTTGATAAACATACTTTATTCAAAATTGTGAATATCATATATAGAACAATACCTAGTAAAGTGATAATGTTCCTTTGAAATTTATAGTAAATGCACTTTCAATATACAATATATATTATCCGAAGTTCAAATCTAGTATTTTCACAAAGTAGTTATTCACAGTGTAATAATTTTACTTATATGATTTAATAAGAAGTGAACATAAAAGTCTTAAAGATAATCTACACTTAAATCCTGTTAAAAAAACTACACTTAAATCCTTTAAAACATAGTGATGGATTTCTCGAATTAGGCCAGACTCTCCATTTGTGTTATCCAATATTATCAATATGAAGTGTCAATTCATGAGCTTTGAGATAAAACTTCCCTAATACCTAAGTTTCAACTGCAAGTTTTCATCGATCAAGTAAATAGATGAGAAGGAAAAAAGATTCCAAAAACTTGATAACTCCTTGACCCATATTTGTATAAAGACATTTCTCTAGAAAGATTTATAGAAAACAATGAGAGTGCAAGTTCACAATCTGGATTAGAGTAGCTAATAAGTGCAAATATCTGAATGTTTCTTCATCATTGGTAGGCTTCAATGGTAAGGTTAGTTTCAGCCATTTTCTTCCAACTCATCTATTTTCTTCTCCTGCACAATTGCAACGTGTGGAAACCGAACACACCTCAGCACTAAATTGATAGAACCCCAAGAAATCCAGAACAGTTTACAGAAAGAGATCAAGAAGTCAAACTGATTTTATTAGAGAAGAAGATGAACAATACAGTAATCCAAGGCCGAAGCCTCCCAAATAAGCTGAAGCCCCCCAAAGAAAGAGATAAACTCGATCTTCCAAGTCCCAAGACTAACCGTCTAAAAGCTTGCCTTCTATTCTCTCTCTACCCCTATTTATACTAACTCTCTAATATTCTTCTTATTCTCATTTATTAATATTATAAGTAGGTCCCTAACAATACTCTCCCTTTTAAAACCACCTTGCCCTGAAGGTGGGCTATAGGGGATAGTCTTGATGAACCGCTTCTTCCTCATCTTTGCACCTCGTCCTTCCCCGTATTTTTCAAATTTAAGGATCCTGAACTTTATGACTTGAATCTTCCTTCTCAGTTCTCACTGCTTCTAGCCAAAACAGCATTAGCTCCTCTTCCTTCCAAGCATCACTATTATTCATGTGTCTTTGTTCATGCTGGTGATATGCACTAGTTTGTAGTGCATAAATGTATGTTTTTATATTTATTCTGTGTGGATTGTTTACCGTTTTTAGTTAGTTTTTAAGCAATCATCTTCATTTGTTTGTAATTGATTTTAATCATTTTTAGTAAGTTGTAAAGTAGTAGTAGAGTTATTGGCAAGGAAAAGAAGTGAAAAGAAGAAGAAAAATATCCAGGTGCACAGACCCGGTCGGGTCAGACACTTCACCCGGTCGGGTCTGATTTAACAGATGCAGGTACTCAGGAAATTACATCACCCGGTCAGGTGAGGTATTTCACCCGGTCGGGTCCGACTTGACCCGGAACACCAGAACGTGCCGAAGATCGCCAGAACGTGTAGGATATTTGATTTTGACATGCACCCGGTCGGGTGGGCACTTTACCCGGTCGGGTACCCGGCCAAAAGTGTTGAAAAACACCTATAAATAGCCTCATTTTCCTTCACAAATAATAATCCCTTCTTCCATACTCTTAAGCTCAGTTTAGAATAGTATTTCTTTTATATTTTTATAGCATGTTTAGTCTCCAAATGAGGAGCTAAACCCTTCCATCTTGGTTTTGCTACTTTGAAGCTTAATGAATTTGTAAGTTGTGAGTTATTATCTTTAATCTTCTTCCTTGAATATTAATTCTTCTTTTAAATACTATTTCTATATCAATGTTGGGGAGTGTTACTAAGATGACAATTAGTTAACATCTTGACATTAGTTATAGTAATAGTTATTTCTTCCTCTACGTTAATATCGGGGAGTGTTACTAAGATGACAATTAGTTAACATCTTGATATTAACTATAGTAAGATTCATCTTCTTTAATATTCTTTCTTGAGTATTAATTAATTCCTATTCATATTTCATATTAATATTTTGAACATTACTTAAAGGATCAACTAGTTTTGTTTCATATATTAATTAATACTAGAATCGGTCGATTAATACGCTTGTTATTAATTCGGTCCTTTCATGGTAGTAAACTTGGATTATTAATGCATGCATCTCATGGTTAATAATCTAAGGGAAATTAATTATATTGATTAAACCAATAAACCGCTTGTGTTGAGGTTATCAATCTCAATCGTTTTCATCTTAAGTTTATTGCTACTATCAAGTTAATATACGACGCTTGTTCTATATTGACTCGATAGTAAGTTTTATTAATGAACGCTTCTCGTTATTAATAACTACCCTCGATGAAATGGATATACTCCTCGATTGAGTATTTGAGAGGAAGATAGTTAAAGATATAACCGGGATCGACGAACATTTCATTAAGTGGATAAAAGCAAAGCCAAGTCTTCTTCTCATTAATTAAACCACATAACTCGTTCATCTTCGTGTTTAATTTATTAAACCAAATCAAACTAAAACCCATTTTGTTACTAGTTCTATAAAAAGAAAAGTATTCCTTTTCCTGTGGATACGAACCTTACTACGCTATACTACGTATAGGTGTAGTATTGTATTATTATTTTGAGTGCACATCACGACAAAGTGCACGTCAAATTTGGCGCCGTTGCCGGGGAAAGGCAATTATTTTTCTTTTCATTTTATTTCAATAAAAAATCAAAAAAAAAATTAAATAAATAAAATATAAAGAGTTCTTACTTTTTCTATTTATGAGCTTACATGAGTATATGGTAAAAACCCGTTCTATAAACGAACTTACTTACCAAACAAACCCCGAAATAGAACAAGCCTTCGAGAGGTTGAGAAATTTATTTCCGCACACACCCTCGGAGGAATCCTCAAACGCTAGCTCTAGCTCTAGTGAATCCGAAGAGTCATTCCACATGGCTCTCGAGACAAGGACCTTAAGGGAGCTCACCGCTCCCAACCTCAATCAACAACCGTTATGTATTACCTTCCCTACACTCAATGAGGGTAATACATTTGAGCTGAAATCTGGGCTCATTCATCTATTGCCATCTTTCCATGGCCTGAGAGGAGAAGACCCGAACAAACATCTCTCGGAATTCCATATTGTTTGCACGATCATGTGCCCAAATGGAGTCACCGAGGAGCAAATCAAATTGAGGGCTTTTCCATTCTCCCTTAAAGACACCGCAAAGGATTGGCTATTCTATCTTCCTTCGGGGAGTATAGATACATGGGCAGCAATGAAGAAATGCTTCCTAGAAAGGTATTATCCCGCTTCTGTCTCATCATCTTTGAAAAAACAAATAAGCAACATTGATCAAAAAGATGATGAGTCCTTATATGAATATTGAGAGCGATTCAAAAAGTTGTGTGCTAGTTGCCCATATCATGGGTACACTGAGCAAGACCTCATCCTTTACTTTTATGATGGTCTTGCGGATCAAGATAGGCGCATGGTTAATGCGGCGAGTGGAGGGGGAATTGTTAACAAAACCCATTCTCAAGCAAGAAATCTCATCTCGGAGTTGGCCGAGAATTCTAGATACTACAATGGGAGATCCTCAACCCGAAGGGTTGCCGCGGCGGAATCCAACACCTCATTGGAAAGTCAAGTGGCCGGCTTGACTTCTTTGGTTAAAGATTTTCTCTTAAAACCCAAAACCCAAGAAGTCAAGGTTTGCGGCATATGTTCAACACAAGGGCATCCGACCGATTCATGCCCATCAATACAAGAGGAGAATTTGGAGCAAGTCAACGCCTTGGGTTTCCAAGGACATCAACAAAGGAGGTACGACCCATTCTCAAACTCTTACAACCAAGGATTGAGGGATCATCCAAACTTGAGGTACGGAAACCCCCAACAATCAAACCCACCTTCTCAATCACCTTTCAACAATCAAGGCTCAAATTCTCAACCTAATATGTCAACTGATGACATGATAAGAGCTTTGACTTCAAACATGGTTACCATGCAACAAAGCATGGGACAATTTCAACAAACCATGATACAATTCCAACATGAGACAAAGTCAAGCATAAAAAATTTGGAAACCCAAGTTAGCCAAATTTCAAATGCCGTAAGCCGACTTGAAGCAAAGGACTCGGGTAAACTCCCATCTCAAACGGAGCAAAACCCGAGACAACATGTGAATGCAATCATGTTGAAGGGGGTAGAAAAGAATGACCAAGAGATCGAGGAGGTTGATCATGAAAAAGAAGCTCAATCTGAGGAGAGAACCACAAAGGTGAAACTCCCTCCATTTTCATCGTATGAATTAATAGCCCCATTCCCCGAGGCATTGAAGGAGACAAGGAAGCTGGACAAAGATGCTGACATCTATGAGACTTTCTCCAAATGTGAGGTAAACATTCCACTCCTTAACTCAATTAAAAGTGTTCCCCGTTTTGCTAAATTTTTAAAAGAATTATGCAAAACAAAAACAAAAAATAAATTGAAAGAAAAACAAGAAGTCAAGGTTAGTGAACATGTATCGGCTCTATTTCAAAAGAAACTTC